TTCAATGATTGAATTGTTAAGATTGATTTATGCTTCACGCTTTTACTACATTTAAAAAAAATATCTACCGAAAACGAATGTCTGCTCATTCGAGAAAAAGATTTTGTCATTCAAAAAAGTTTTACTGTTCCACAGATCTAATCCCATAGGAGAATGAATATCAGTATCATTTTGCTTGCCATATTTGTATGGAATATATTATTTTTGGTTTCTGTTCCATTTTCTGATCGAGGAAAACCAGCTGGTATCTGCGACAATAACTGGTCAGAACTGTTACATATTTCTTGATCTTGAGACATATTTTGATTTTGTTGTTGTATTGTTGATGTTCCTAGCAAATTTGTCAATGAGCAGATGAGTAATAAAGATCTGACGTGTCAGGGTTGATATGAGGTTTGTTTCACCTATACTGTCAATATTAACTATAATATCCTGTGTGATGTTTTGGGTTTTTTTCACTTTAAGAGAGGTTGTTCTTCAATTTTTTCAGTATGTAATGTTTAAATCTTTTTTGTAATAAGTGACTTGTACTGAAGGAATTGTTGTGTTGTGTGAACTACTATGAAAAACTTCCTGCTTGTATTTTCAGGGTTGAACTTATCCGTTGACTAAGGTTGAATCTGAATACATATTGTAATATACATCTTCATTATCGTTACACTTATAAATGTACGTGTGCAGTGTTCATGTCTGTCTTAACAATTCCATAATACAAATCAGGTGCATCTTCATCTAAACATCAACAAACAGTAATTGAATATTTTCCTAAAAGAATGATTGTGCTTACTATCTGTAAATTTTATATATATTTCACCATACTTTTCTGCAAGATGTGTAACAAATAATTATCAAACAGTACTGCATGGTAAAAGGCAACAATCATACCAAGACGTGTACAAGCCACATTCAAACATCTGATTATGATATTAAATATGTACATGCTTCTAGTGGTTAAAGCGTTCGCTCGTCACGCCGAGGACCCGGGTTCGATTCCCGACATGGGTACAATGTGTGAAGCCCGTTTCTGGTGTCCCCTACCGTGATATTGCTGAAAGTGGCGTAAAATCAAACTCTAATTTTTAAGTACACAAACAATCTTTCCATAATTGATCATTCTCATAAGGCCCAGTGTTGATTAGATAAATCTGAAAATATAAATTTTAAATAATAGTCGTTTCTGGTCTTCCTCTAAGCATTAGAACTGGCGCAAACATCAGTGAAGGCTCTAACTTTATGCTTTATAAAGCTGAAACCAGGATAGACTTCCACACTGAAGTTGACATTGTAGTCATTCCGGAATAAACCATTTCCATGTAGCACATTCCATTTACATGACGCGAATCTCTACCTGACAGTCATGTGACCCGCTTTTTCTATTAATAATTGATATGACCCTGAACTAAGATGAATCTCCACAAACTGACCCAGTTTCGTTTGTTTGTTTGTTTTCCTTCAACATAAGCCTTTTACTACCAAGCGGTGGAGCCAGGATGTCCCAATGGAAGGGGCTTACCATTTAAATTCATAACTTGCAGAATGTGTACGTTATTTGCGCAACTAAATATCAGTTTGCTGAAATATGCCAAGTATGTACACAAAAACAACTTGCTGTGTCCCTCGTGACATAACCATGCACTCAAAAAATGTCGACAGGAATGTATGTCGTCAACTTTGGCCAACTTTACAGATTTAGAGCTCATGACGAATTAGTTCCATGTGTCCATAGTGGGTATACGGGACGATATACGCCGATTGTTTATACCGCTACCTTCAGTATCGTGGCTGCAAGCCCATTCAGATCGTAAAAAACTTATTTACCAATCTATTGACACGTTCTGGTTTGGTTTGCTGTTTAACGCCGCACTCAGCAATATTCCAGCTACAGTCAAGTCCCATTAATCCGACATCGATGGTTGCATATGATTATGTCGGATAGTATGTCGGATAAACGAAATTTAGTAGTATCAACGTTCGTGATCGAAAATTGGACAACTACATGATAGATAAGGATTTTCCTGTTTTCTTTATTTAAAGCAGTAATTTTTTATTGTTAAGCAAGTTTATCTCTGCAGCCGTTGTAATATACAGATACCAGGCGATTCGTCTCGCATCAAAACACGGGCTGAGTACTCGTGGGCAGATGACCACGGAGTATGCTGATCACTGTGTCGGATTAACGAGACTGATTAATGAGTGATTTCGGTCACTTGTTGCAAATTAGGTGTGTCAGAGTCGGAGTGCGAGATTGTCGGATTAACGGGACTAAATAGCACTGATTTAATCGGTTCCCATCATTAGTGTCGGATAAAGCCGATTGTCGGATTAACAAGTGTCGGATTAACGAGACTTGACTGTATATGACGGTGGTCTGTAAATAATCGAGTCAGGCCAGACAATCAAATGCTGGACAGTGATTGATATCATGAGCATTGATCCACGCAACTGGGATCCATGACATGCTTCAACCAAGTCAGCAAGCCTGACCACCTGATCCCATTGGTCGCCTTCTACGGGAAGCATGGGTTGCTGAAGACCTATTCTACCCCGGATCTTCGCGGGTACTATAGACACATGAAACTCCTACAGCAAGTAGTGTAATGTATAAATTGGCCAGCTGTCTTTTGGTGTGCAAAGTCAACAAACAACATAACATTTCTGTTTGGAGTGATCTTAGCAGTTTCAATGGTAGCCGTTGGTGGTTTACAAGCTGGGGACTTCTTGATTCATGGAGATAAATCAATGTTTCCAACCTAGAGATTTGATTTTCTTTGATAAAAGAAGTCTGTTTGAATTCCATCCATCTCTTTTATTGTCTAAATTATTGTCAGACTATTATTCATTATGTGTAAAAGCATCTAAACCAGCGAAGCATTAAAAGTAGTCCCAATATATGTTGTGAATGTTTTTTCCTTTATTAAGTAGAAATAAAATATAATTAAGCTGCCAAAAATTTTAAATGTCTACTGAAAGAGGTTAGAGACGCATGCCATGACAAAACATAACACATTTCAAAGTGGCCATCTTCCCTGGCCAAGAGCATTCACTAGCCATATCATCCAAGTCTTGTTTCCACCCTTGCCACATCAAGCCCACTTTCCTGTGCAAAATATGATTGGACTGTCACAAATTTCGATAGTTCAATCAGAGAACATTTCACAAAATCAACATCCACAACTGGTACACCTCAGTATGACAGTGATTAACCGCTGTCTTTGACACAAATATGTCTTTTTCAACTTTTAAACCCCCCCAACGATTGCCTGTTTTTGTGTCAGGGATGAAATCGCGAATGTTTTCATTATCTGATCAACTAGGTTGTCGCCTATAGTAGTCGCCATCTTTGTGAAGCTGTACGAGATATTGGATATCGCGTTTTCATTGGAAGGGGCACAACTCGGGATCTACGAGAGGTGGCACCAGGTCGACACCAGTAAAGTGGCCTTGATGTGGCAAGGGTAGAAACTAGGCTTTGATATGGGCTAGTGGACACGCTTGTGTCAGGAAGATGCAAAGTGGCATGAAACTCACCTTTATGCTAATTTGTTGTTCATTTATATTTTTTTGTTTCAATGTAGGACAGTTGTCTTTGTGTGTAGACCTGTTTGTTCCATGTATATAATTATGGCATCCCCGATGGTAAATCCACCTTGAAGTATGTAAATAACATGTTGCAAATGAAACTGTTTGTATATTCTCAGTATGAAATCAGATCGAGTCAACTGAGAACCATTTCTTGGCCAAGGAACTGATTACAATTATGTACAATAAACTTCTTTTTTGCGACCCTGGCAGCCAAGGAATCTATATTTCCACTTGGGGAAACTGCCATGGCACACCACTGAGATCCTGAACTAACCAATCAGGTTTCTTGTGTAGAGTAGCCAATCAGAAGTTAGGTTTTATAGTACTCCATGCAGAAGATAAAAAGTTTCATTTCCTTAAACTGACTGTGCATTTCTGACTAGTATCATCATGATTAATATTTGATGGAATTTGAACCACCTCAGCTAGGAAATATCCCAGGAAATGTGATTTAAGTTGTCAAAAATATTTGTGAATGCTCAATAATAACCTGTATGTATATCTGATTGTTATGATGTTTTGGAAAGCTGTCAACGTGTGTTGATGTCGACACAGAAGAGTTAGGTAGGTGAAGTAAGTTTGTGTAAATAGTGACGTGGACTGAGCACAACTGTGAAGCATGCACTGTACAACAAGATTGTATTGTTTGTAGCATGAAAGTGCTGTCCCCAGAGGTGGGAAATAAATAGACGCTGAGAGTATACGTGGAGTTGTGGTCATTTCCTGAATCATTTATCAACGTCATTGGGGCACCAGTGACCCAGTTGTCTACACCACGGCAAGTCATTGTACAGAGTTGCGATCCTTAAGCGTCCAGAAATCAGTGATCATGGGTTTGAATCCTGGTTCGCCCAAATCATGTTTCTAGGTTTGTCAGGACCATACTTGCTGGTTTCACCGAAGTGGTAGATGATGACGATCTGCATCATGTCAGGACTTTCTCCCACATTAAGTCTACCCATCATGATATAATTGAAATATTATTCAAGGTGGTGATATACCCTCTCACTCACTCTGTAATCAAATACACACGCTGTCACTTCATGTGAACGTTTGTTGGTTTGTTTGTAGTGTTACGCCGCACTCAGCAATATTCCAGCTATATGACGGCGGTCTGTAAATAATCAAGTCAGGACCAGACAATCCAGTGATTAACATCATGAGCATCGATCCACGCAATTGGGCTTGATGACATGCTTCAACCAAGTCAGCGGTCCTGACCACCCGATCCCGTTAGTCGCCTCTTACGACAAGCAAGGGTTGCTGAACACCTATTCTACCCCGGATCTTCATAGTCACCTTTTACGGCAAGCATGAGCGAGTTGAATGCAGCTATGAACAGTCAGTATTTCAGTTACCTCTGCATGTTAGCTTTATGGATGACCCAGCCTAAATACATTAAAGAAAACAAAGCCAAATTGAATAAGACCTGTGTTGTATTGTACACTTAGATTCCAAACTACATGACTGAAAATGCATTGTAGTAATATTCTTAAAACACTACTTTTGTTTCAATACGGAATGGACGGAAGACACTGAATGACATTTCTCATTATCTATACCACTCAGAACAAGTTAAGGAACACCCACAATTGGAAGCCTGTGTGCTGCAATTCCAACCAGCCATGACAGTTTAACTTTAGTCAATGAACAAATCAGGTGTTCTTTAACTTCTTTTGAGTGGTACAGATATACCATGATATACAGTGAAACCCTGTTAATACGAACAGAACTGCTCCCACAGTATTTGTCCAGAATAACAAATATCCAGATTAACAAATCATTCCTAGAGCGTAAATTCCCTTTTATTCATGCTGATATTCCCACAGAATCGTCCAGAATGCAGGGTTTCCAGACTAACAAGGTTTCACTGTAGCCACTAATGCTGGAAAACATAAATATAGCACTCAAGTTTATCTAACCACTTGATCAATCAATATATGAATATGATCTATATACAATTCGTAGATACACTAAGAAACGCTGACTGTATAATTTCATGTGTGATCAAGCTTTGTTCCTATGACCTCTACTCCTACCATTTAGGGTAATAAATACAGATCTCAGAAAGAGAACTATTGACAGTTTCATTGTCCCTATACACGAAGTTGATCAATGGTCAGTAATGAGGTACTATTCATCAGGGGAATCAGTCATGTTATATTCATCATTGAGCTATTTTCCAGTACATGATTAATATACCAACAGAAAACTGTTCCTGAACAATAAATATCAATATCACAGTGGCGCTGTCTGGGTAACAGGCTTTAGTATGCCCCAGCCCTCATCAGAACGTGTCTCTGCACTTTCTGAAACACAAACAAAGAATGTTTGTATGTACATGATATAATGTTATAGACTATTGAGGAGCAAGACAATTTTAATAGCCTACGATCCTATTTCTGCGATCTGTTTTGCTTTGCTGAAAGGTTTGCAGACTGAAATTTTTAAAAATGTGGAATAAGTACCCATTTCAGTCTTTTTCAACATGTCTCGTTTTCACCTCTCCCTTTGTTCACACAACCATACCGTTTTACCCTGACAATGTATCTCAAGTTCTCCATCTATTACATAACAGGCCTCACTATCATTGATCAACATCTTTTTTTGTTTTGTTTGTTGTTTAATGCCACACTCAGCAATATTCCAGCTGACGGCGGTCTGTAAGTAACTGAGTCTGGACCAGACAATCCAGGGATTGACATCATGAGCATCGATCCATACATTTGGGATAAGATGACATGCATGCCTGACCCCCGATCCTGTTAGTGGCCTTTTACGACATGCATAGTCACTTTTTCACGATAAGCATGGGTTGCTGAAGATCTATCCTAACCCGGATCTTAACAGGCATGATCAACATCTACATACAGAGACACCCCATTAAACACAATTCACTACTACAGCAGTAGTTTACAGTTCCAGCATTGTCTGCCTCACCTTGGTGAACACCTTTGACTTGAGCCTGTTCAGTCGGTACTGGTTCTCTCGCTTCTCGACTTCTTGTCTCTTTAGTACTTCTGGCAGTTGCTTGTATATTCTACAACAAAATATGTCACACATCAGTGAGGAAGCAGCAGCATCTACAAGACAATAGAAGATAATCATTGAGGAAGCAGCAGCATCTACAAGACAATAGAAGATACATTGAGGAAGCAGTATCATCTACAAGACAATAGAAGATAATCAGTGAGGAAGCAGCAGCATCTACAAGACAATAGAAGATCATCAGTGAGGAAGCAGCAGCATCTACAAGACAATAGAAGATACATTGAGGAAGCAGCAGCATCTACAAGACAATAGAAGATAATCAGTGAGGAAGCAGCAGCATCTACAAGACAATAGAAGATACATTGAGGAAGCAGCAGCATCTACAAGACAATAGAAGATACATTGAGGAAGCAGCAGCAGCATCTACAAGACAATAGAAGATACATTGAGGAAGCAGCAGCATCTACAAGACAATAGAAGATAATCATTGAGGAAGCAGCAGCATCTACAAGACAACAGAAGATACATTGAGGAAGCAGCAGCATCTACAAGACAATAGAAGATAATCATTGAGGAAGCAGCAGCATCTACAAGACAATAGAAGATACACTGAGGAAGCAGCAGCATCTACAAGACAATAGAAGATAATCATTGAGGAAGCAGCAGCATCTACAAGACAATAGAAGATACATTGAGGAACAGCAGCATCTACAAGACAATAGAAGATACATTGAGGAAGCAGCAGCATCTACAAGACAATAGAAGATACATTGAGGAAGCAGCAGCATCTACAAGACAATAGAAGATAATCATTGAGGAAGCAGCAGCATCTACAAGACAATAGAAGATACATTGAGGAAGCAGTATCATCTACAAGACAATAGAAGATAATCATTGAGGAAGCAGCAGCATCTACAAGACAAAAGAAGATACACTGAGGAAGCAGCAGCATCTACAAGACAATAGAAGATACATTGAGGAACAGCAGCATCTACAAGACAATAGAAGATACATTGAGGAAGCAGCAGCATCTACAAGACAATAGAAGATACATTGAGGAAGCAGCAGCATCTACAAGACAATAGAAGATACATTGAGGAAGCAGCAGCATCTACAAGACAATAGAAGATAATCATTGAGGAAGCAGCAGCATCTACAAGACAATAGAAGATACATTGAGGAAGCAGCAGCATCTACAAGACAATAGAAGATACATTAAGGAAGCAGCAGCATCTACAAGACAATAGAAGATAATCAGTGAGGAAGCAGCAGCATCTACAAGACAATAGAAGATACATTGAGGAAGCAGCAGCATCTACAAGACAATAGAAGATACATTGAGGAAGCAGTATCATCTACAAGACAATAGAAGATAATCATTGAGGAAGCAGCTGCATCTACAAGACAATAGAAGATAATCAGTGAGGAAGCAGCAGCATCTACAAGACAATAGAAGATAATCAGTGAGGACACACGCTCTATAACCATAAAGCATGCTCACAGATTCACACTGCCAGGGGTCTTTTGACCACTAAATATTGAGTATTCTTGCTGACTATCAAATGTGACATGAATGAAAGTCTATCTTTATTCCAGTTATGGCTTTCATGGTGGCCATATTGAAAATCAGATTTGAGGAGACTTGGGGTTTAACATCGCATCCAAGATTATTGCACTTATACAGCGATGTGCATGCATGTGTGTGTGTGTGTGTATGACTGCTTGTAATAGTATTGACTGATGTCGATTTATAGTGCTTGCCCACTGAGATACCATGTCGCAGTTAACATGAATACCCCACTCAGACACAGTAAACTGATTCCGAGCCGACAAGTCCCTTATTTAGCCCCTTGATGCCGAGCACCAGACAGGGTTACAACAAGTACCACCTTTTAACACCTTTTGGTATGATGAGGCTGGGGATTGAACCCCGGACCTTCTGCTCTCCGGTCGGACGCTCTACCACTAGACCACAGAGGCAGTCTGAACAGATTTGAACGTCTTGAACAAATTCAAAGGTGGGATCAAGCCTGCCAAGTTTCAGCTTCATTGGTCCAGTCGGGGGAGATAATGAAATTCTATGATGAAGACTGAGCTACTGTTTCTCACCTTTGAGTGTTATCCTTTTGTTCCTGTCTGGTGAATACACGTCGTTTGGGCTGATATAAATGTTCTGGGAATAAAAATAAGATTCATAAAATTATCCAGTGACTGTCAATGTCATCAATTTTTATTCTTATTCCTGAATGCAAGCAAGAAATAGCAAAAGATTATGAAAAAAATACTGTGATTATATACAAGAGATTATATTCATGATATCTAGAATCATACTTCATCTGGACAGGGAAGATCTCCTCGCTCTCACTGACTTACCACTATATGGATGTGCACCCGTGTCGGCCCCGTGCTTCCGGGGAACGGGGAAGATCTTCTCCCTCTCCAGCCTAAGCTCTTCCTGCATGCGGCGGTGATCTGCTGACAAGGCCATGCGCTTCTGCCTCTCCCGAGACTGAGATATGAAGTGCTGCATCTTCTGCCCGAAGGCATCCTGCAACAGACAAGACAGAGTTGTACATCACTCTGTAATCTGTGTATCTATGTGCATGGTGCATGAATGTGTATGTGTGTGTGTGTGTGTGTGTGGGGGGGGGGGGGGGGGGGGGGGAGGAGGAGAAGAGAGAGAGAGAGAGAGAGAGAGAGAAAAGAGGGGGGGATAAGAGGGGATGGTGGTCACTGTGTGTGTCTATGGTCTATAGGCATGTGCAGGTCACTGTGTGTCTCTGTGTGTGTCTATGGTCTATGGGCATGTGTAGGTCACTGTGTGTCTCTGTGTGTGTCTATGGTCTATGGTCTATGGGCATGTGTGGGTATCTGTGTGGGTGGGTGCCTGTATAGACACTTGAATTTACATAATCAATACAATAAGCACTGATAAACCAACTTCTGCAGAAGAACACTCCCATTCTGTTACTTCCGGATATTGAATCGAGTGTTTGTGTGAGTCAGTGTAGCGGACTTCCCCTGTTCTCCAATCTTCATAAACAAGTCAGACAAACTGGAGGGCAGCACTGCTTTAATGTTACAAAACTACTTGTACTATGACAAACCTGCAAAGACTGTGACTTTTTGAAAGTGTACTCCTCCTCAATCAGCTTGGACGGAGCATCCTCCTGCTGTATCCTGTCCACCAGGTTGTCCAGGTAGCCCCGGTTCTCCTCTTCCTCCTCGTCCATGATGTCCCGGGGCTGAGCCGTCTGCCACTGGGACTTGGTCCCCGGGGCCACCCACGCCTGCTTCACCGTGTACTCCTGCCGCTCCCGCAGGGGCTGCCGCCAAGGGCGGGGGTCTTTCACCTCCACATACCAAGCAATGCCTTCTGAAATACAACACATTTCAAGGAATAAACTGGTTTGCTGTGAACTTGCTAGCGATACATTGTTACACTGGCACAGATTCTTGTCAATATTTTTCTGTGATTCTAGTTATTTTAATATGTTAATATTCTTACTGGTTATAACCTGCAGCTTTAAGGCAGGTTTCAATAAAATCACAGAATTCTTTCAAGATATACTAACTTGCACTATGAAGTGCTGACTGGCCCTATGAAGCACTGACTGGCCCTATGAAGCGCTGACTGGCACTATGAAGTGCTGACTGGCACTATGAAGTGCTGACTGGCTCTATGAAGCGCTGACTGGCACTATGAAGCACTGACTGGCACTATGAAGCACTGACTGGCACTATGAAGCGCTGAGTGGCACTGTGAAGCACTGACTGGCACTATGAAGTGCTGACTGGCTCTATGAAGTTCTGACTGGCACTATGAAGCACTGACTGGCACTATGAAGCACTGACTGGGACTATGAAGCGCTGAGTGGCACTGTGAAGCACTGACTGGCTCTATGAAGTGCTGACTGGCTCTATGAAGTTCTGACTGGCACTATGAAGCGCTGACTGGCACTATGAAGTGCTGACTGGCACTATGAAGCACTGACTGGCACTATGAAGCACTGACTGGCACTATGAAGCACTGACTGGCTCTATGAAGCACTGACTGGCACTATGAAGCACTGACTGGCACTATGAAGCACTGACTGGCACTATGAAGCACTGACTGGCACTATGAAGTACTGACTGGCACTATGAAGCACTGACTGGCACTATGAAGCACTGACTGGCACTATGAAGCGCTGAGTGGCACTGTGAAGCACTGACTGGCTCTATGAAGTGCTGACTGGCTCTATGAAGTTCTGACTGGCACTATGAAGCGCTGACTGGCACTATGAAGCACTGACTGGCACTATGAAGCACTGACTGGCACTATGAAGCACTGACTGGCTCTATGAAGCACTGACTGGCACTATGAAGCACTGACTGGCACTATGAAGCACTGACTGGCACGATGAAGCACTGACTGGCACTATGAAGTACTGACTGGCACTAAGAAACACTTACTTGGACTGACTGGTAGTTTCTTCTTCTTCTGCCGGGAGTGTTGGCTTCCCATGGACTCGGGCGTGAAGCAGCGGGAGTATGGCGGTGATCGACTCCGACTTGTCTTCTCTCTCATCGCAAAGGGCACACTCATCTCTGTCTGCTTCACTCTACGGCCTGGCGATGGTGACCTGGACTTGGATGCATACCGATGAAGATTGGGTGTGGTCTGGATGCCCTCTGACTTTGTCCTCCTCTGCTTGTGTCTGTGAGGACTCACAGGACTACGAGGCAAAGGTGATGGATAGTTTGTAGCAGCATCCCGCGTTTGTCCTCTAGACGTCGACCTTGCCCTTCTGTTACTATCTGGTGAGAAGTCAACACGTCTTGGCCGTTCCTGGATCTGAATATCAACCTCCCGGTAATCATACAGAGATTCAGTCTCATTAACAGACCTTTCCTTAGACCTCCGCTTATTTTTATCGCCTCTGTTTTTGGACTGTTCCTTCAGCTTCTCATTCGTCCGAACCTTCTCTGCCTTCTTGCTCCTTCCATTCTCATCAATGTCCATCTGGACAGTCGGCTGAAATTCTCCAAAACTTGCATCATATCTTTCTGAAGCAGGCTGGTTCCGAGCGAACTTCATCATCTGCATCTCAATACTACTGTCCTTAGCAGTGGTGCTGTCATCAGTGAGAATCTCGCTATTGGCTCCGGACATGGTCAGTGTTGATTCCGTGATCTCCTCCGTGGTATCCGTGGGAGCTGATGTGGTTGAGATGTACTCCAGCTGATCCAACAACGTCGACTCACTTATCCTCCCCTTCTTCTTCGCCGACAACAGCTGCTCCAGCTTCACCAGCTTCTCCATCCGCTTCAGCTCCTTCCGCTGCTCGCGCTCAATCTTCTCCTTCTGTCGCTCAATCTTCTCCCTCAACTTCTCCATGTTAGGATCGATGAGACCATCCAGCTTCTTGTACCGTCTCTGATCGAAGCTAATATCCTCGGGGATTGAATACAGACTCTCCACCCCTTCCTGTGTTCGTTCGCCAGCGTTCTTCTTATTCATCTTCTTCACTGAACTGGTCTTTGCCTTCTTCTTAGGACTCCCCTTCTCCATCACCTCGGTGTAGCTCCCATTTACCTCCGACTCGCTGATGTTCCTCTGACTCCTCCTCTGACTCCTCCTCTTCTCCCTCTCCTCGGCCGACTTCTCCTCTCGGGTCTTCCTCTGCTTCTCTTGATCCTCAAAGTAGGAGGTCACTAGATGCCTTGCTGGGTTCCTCAGGAGCTGGGCAAGTGTTTCCATGCGTGCTGTGTTGAGGGATGTGTCACTGTCCGTCTGGTTGAGCTCCTGGAACCTCTGCCAGAGGATATTGATGTCTACAGGGACAGCTGGATCCACCTCGTGTTCCAGGGTCTCTCTCAGTAGCTGGGCTGGGCGACTCACAGGGGCTCTGTCAATGGCTCGGTGGCCGTCATCTTCTGAGGAACTTATATCAACCTGCCCCCGTCTGTAACATGGAAGAAACATTTCTAACATCAGACATAGCTTCACTGGCATCACAACAGTAAAAGCAACTGAAATAATAACAAATATTGTTCATTATCAAAACATGACAAGTAAGATCAAGAAATAATTCTTACGGATTTGAAAATACTTGAATTCATGACACTTTTTATGGATAGCAACTTCTTTTTATTCTTTTTACAACATTTCAGAGCAACTTCCTGCTCCTTCATTCACCTGATGAAGAAGCAAGAAGTGGCTCTGAAACATAATACAAAGAATAAAAAGAAGTTGCTATCCATAAAAAGTATCATGTATTCATGTTCTCCCAACTTCAAAATGCATATCAAAGACTTACAAATACTTAATGTTAAAGCAAAACATAGCATTACTATTAAACAGCAATTAAAAGCAATGACACTTTGCGTTAATTCTCTGACTTGAACTAAAACTATCTATATGATGACACTTAAGTCTGCTTCATCATCTGTTTTATCCCACCTTGAATTTCGATTCTGCTCCATCCTCTGTCTGGTATCCTTCCGATCTGATGACCTCAGACGCCCGTCTTTCCCATTCCTCAGAGATGATCCTTGTGAACTCTGACCTTGATCTCTGCAAATACACAAATCCATAACATGTGAAGGTGAACACAGAAGAGAAACTTTAGCACCATTGCATCAAGTTTAGGAAAGCTGCACAAGAGTCTTTGTGGGTTAACACCAACACACCTAAAATGTGTCTGAACGGACACAATCTTTCTTCTATTCACCTTGTTTAACCTTTAAAAGTGAGGCTGTTCACTTTTGGAGTAAAAATTAAAAAACTACATTTTGAAATTTAATGCTCATCAGTTTTGATCATGTTAAGTATGTTGAGTTTCAAAGTAGTACTGCTTATCAAAGATTCAAAGATTATTTCACAAAACTATCTCTTACTCTTCCATCTGAATGTGGTCATCTACGAATCTGCCACTGCCAATTCTCTGGTCAATGCTAGAATCAATGGCTGTGGAATGTCTTGGATCCGTTCTCATCTGTGAGTCTCGTAGAATTGTAGAATGTGGGTGGATCGGTGAGGCTGGTGGCTCAGGAAGCTGGCCATCTCGGACAACAGATGCTGACCCTGGCTGCCTGTGAATGAGGTCACCATCTGACCTTGACCTTAACCTACCCTCATGGTCATGGTCAGGTACATCTCTGACAGTTGATCTGTATTCTGGATATTGCTCAGAACCCCGACTACCATTACTTTGAACAGTATCACTAGATCTGGTGGCTTCTGTGTGCCCAGATCGGCTATCATAAACATCATTACCACTTCCATACTGTCCTGTACCACGGACTCCACTTTGCCGTGACCTACTTTCCAAATCTTGACTGGATCGGCTCTCCGAGTACAATGCTGAATGTCTGTCATCCATTTGACTACCAGAAAATGTCCCCCCAAAATTATTACCCGACCCTGACCGCCTGTCCTCAGCCTGACCTTGTGACCTACTTTCTGTAATATGACTTGGGGGATTCTCAGGATGTAACACAGATTGTCTGTCATCCATCTGGATACCAGATGATGTCCTTGGCAAATTTTCACCTGACCTTGGCCTCTCTTCATCAAATTGACCTTTTGACCTACTTTCTATTTTCCTATCCAACCCTGACTCTTGTCCATCACGCGTATCCAGCAGCTTCAGGGTGGCTCGATGTGTCACATCCTTATCCGGCTGGTCTGAACGTGAACCATAGCCAACACTGTCCACATTCCTTCTTCTACTGTCCTCCATCAGTTCCATCTGATTTCTTCTCTCTTTCATCTGCAAAGTATCCGTCACAGTCGTGGTGGTGAAGTTACTCCTTGTCCCTATTCCTGAGTCGACTTCCAGCTCAGTACGGGAACTCGTCTTACTGAAAGTGTCTCTAGGACTGTGAGATCGCATTCGATCTGACGATCTTTCTGACCTCACATCCCCGCCTCTTTGGCTCTCACGGCTTTCCACCTTCTCCACGACAGTACGACCACTCTCCACAGGCATCCTGTCTCTTTCATCCTGAAAGCAAAGACAAATCAACAGGAATTCACTTAAGGGTGTCTGGATGAGTCTGTGTTCCCTGCGCCAATCAAACTGTCATGTATAGACATTCAAGACATGTTAAATCAATCTATCCACAAAACAAGTGATCATGGCAAGAATCAGTCATCTTGTCAATAACGAGTTATATATCAAACTAATCATGAATTATTTTCCGCTTTATGACAGGTCGCGTATGACTTATGGCAAAAGTGTATGAGAGTAGTGCTGCAACGTCCTTTGAACAATGATGTCACTGCACTGTAACCTCATTTCATGACGTTCTTGCACTGTATGACATCATAATCATAATGTTGCTACACGTTAGAAATTGAGGACAATATGTAAATTAGCATGTTACTATTCAACATATGCACACCAACATTAGTATGGTTTATAGATTATGGGTTTTTCAGATTAAAAACGATGTTTTATTGGTCTGTTTTCAGTCGTACAAATGGGTATCTCTCATACCCTCACGTCTAGTCGCACGTTTAAGAGGAAGCCAGAAGCTGGAATGTAAACATTAAACTTGTTTCTGTCCGGTTGCGCACGCACCTCCCTATGACATGTCACAAATCTCGAAGAATAAGCCATCAAGCAGGACTGGACTGGATTACTTCCCAGTGGGGATGGCTGGGTGGGAACGTACGACTGAAAACAGACCAATAAAACATCGTTTTTAATCTGAAAAACCCATGTTTTAGTCTGTTTTCAGTCGTACAAATGGGTAGAATTCGACGGAACACTGGAAGGAGGGTCGGGAAAGTAATCAGGCAGTGACCACTTTCACGTCGAATGTACCAAGTTCCTCATCCCTGTAGTGACAATAGAACATTCGACCAGATGCACGGACGAGACAAGTTGTTTATCACGAACGCACAGCATGGTTAATGCTCTTCGACACACAACTAATTATCGATGCGACAGGCCAACTGCACGCGTCAGTTGAGCTGCGATCGAAGTGTGGTCGACGAATAGTTTAGTTACAGAGCAACTCGCAGTATACAAGGTAACTAAAACAGCATGTTTAATGCTCTTCGACTCACAACTAATTATCGAAGCGACAGGACAACTGCACACGTCAGCTGAATTGCGATCGAAATGTGGTCGGCGTATAATTTAGTTACAGAACTCGCCGTAGACAAGGTAACTAAAATAGCATGGGTAATGCTCTTCGACACACAACTAATTATCGATGCGACAGTACAACTGCACACGTCAGTTGAACCCGGATCGAAGTGAGGTCGGCGCATAATTTAGTTACAGAGCAACTCGCAGTATACAAAGTAACTAAAAAATACGAGCAGTACTATAATCATGATAATGTATGGGAAGACGATGCATACACCGAATAACCATAATAAAAAGCAGAAGTACTGCACGCAACAAAAAACCATAAGAATGCGTACATTCACCAACAGCTTTTATTGTAACCTGTAGTATGTCACGAAGTGTCGAGCAAAAACTCCAAAGTGAATAAAACACAAATTCACTGTCTTTTCTCTGAGAGATCTGTTGTGCCACCACGAGTGGACCAAACTGTTTGAGTCCTTCAACATCTTCTGTGGAGATATCTCTAAGATAATGCGAAGCAAACACTGAAGTAGATCTCCAAAAGCAGCCCTCCATAATAACTTGTAGCGAACAATTACTGTGGAGTGCTAATGTTGAAGCGAAGGCTCGAACTTCGTGCGGATGAGAGGAGGTGGGAGGTGCGAGTCCTTGCGCCTCGTAAGCTCTGAGAATTACCGCTCTCAACCAAAATGAGAGAGTATTACGTGTAATCTCTTTCTTTGCATTGGTTGAGAGCGGTATGAACAGCCGTCGAAAATGTTGTCGTCGCTGTTCAGAACGCTGCAGGCAAATACGAAGCGCACGAACTGGGCACAAGGTGAGATCAGCGTGATCATGAGGGCCCATAATGGCAGACAAGGAAGGAATGTGGAACATTCTCGGATCTTGGCCAGGAAGTTGATTTTTCGCTAAAAAATCCCATCTAAGACCAAGATGGACGTTGCCATGGTAACGTTGATCGAACGTCATCCGACAGACGTCAATGGCATGTATTTCCGTAATTCTCGCAGCCGTAGCCAGCGAGAGAAGGAAAACCGTTTTCTGAGACAATAAGTCGAACGCGACCTGATCGAGAGGCTCGTAAGCCTGACTAGACAGGTTGCGCAGAACGACATCAAGGTCCCAGGCCGGCGGTCGGAATTTACGTGACTGATCTTCAACCATGAAGGCACGTAGAATCTTCTGCAACTCCGGTACGTTAGTGAGCTTGTCGCCCGTAGGAGACGGCACTACTGAAGCCAAAGCTGCCAGATATGTCGAGATCGTCGACCCTTTCAGACGCCGAGATGACCGGAGAGAGACTAGGAACTCCGCCACCTGTGGTGGGGTCGCTACCGCCGGGTTGAAGCCATGAGACCTGGCGAAAATGGAGAAAGTGGTCCACTTGTCATCTTACAGCTTACGAGTCGTAACTCGATGTGCCGACGAGACAAGCGCTGCCGCTTTAGCCGAATAGCCTTTCTTCATTAACGAGGTCTTAAGCAAATCCAGGCGTGAAGCTGGAAGTTCTTTATCCCCGGATGCAAGTCGTCGGTGTGAGGATGAAGAAGGAGGTCGTCTCGATCTGGCAACGGGAACGGTGGTTGATCGATGATCTGAAGAAGTTCCGGGAACCATGTTCTGGCCGGCCAATAAGGCGCGACCAAAAGCAGACGTAGGTTGGCCGTTTGACGAACTTTCACCAGTTGCGATGGTAACAGCACCGTTGGTGGAAACGCGTAAGCGTCTAGACCCCCCCACGATATCGCTAGAGCGTCGTGGTCCCATGCCCGTGAGTCTGGAACCGGCGACACGAATCGAGGGAGGCGGTTGTTGTACGGGGCAGCAAAGAGATCTACTTGGGGCAACCAGAGTCGATCTGTCAGCAGATGAAAGACTGTCGGATGGATCATCCACTCCGTTGGAGACGGCCTCGATGGTCTCGACAGGGCGTCGGCAATCACATTCTTGGCCCCCGGGATGTGACGGGCGCGTACACCCATGTCCAAGTCGTCGACGAGGGCGAAGAACCTGAATGTTCGGTCCAGAAGGGCCGCCGACTGAGTTGTTCCCTGTTTGTTGACGCAGTGGACGACTGTGGAGTTGTCCGACTGTATCATTCCCCTTTTCCGACGGAGTCGAAGTTTCCAAAACTCGACCGCCCGAATCACTGCTTCCATCTCGAGGCAGTTGATGTGGAGGACCTTTTCTACTGGCGACCACAGCCCGGCCGCTTGGTCGTCCCCGAAGTGCGCTCCCCAGCCTTCCAATGACGCGTCTACGAATAGGTGTAGTATGAACGGAGGCTCGCTCATAAAGACGCCTTCGCAAACGTTCGACGGCTGGAGCCACCACTCCAGATGACAACGTAGCTGCGCCGGAAGTGGAACCAGGAGATTGGGAAACTCCAGGTGGGGGTACAGCAATCTCTGCAGCGGACGAAGTTGAAGACGACCTCGACGAGTCAAGTCTTGGGCCGATGTCAACAGACCGAGGACTTCCTGCCACGTGTGCACCGACACCGAGGCATGTAGAAGTCTTGGAACGCTGCTGACAATCTTGTCCCAACGGTCTTGGGTACCTGGACCAGATTGACTCCCGTCTGGAAGCGTATCCTAATGTACTGTAGAACCCGAGTTGGTACCAAGTCCGACTTTTGAAAGTTGACGATCCACCCGAGGTACCGTAGTAGACTCAGGGTGGTCGCCAACTCACCTTGAAGGGCTTCTGTAAACTGGTGAGCTTGGAGCCCGTCGTCTAGGTAGAAGGCGACCCTGATCGCATGCCGATGGAGCCATTCTACGACCGTCTTCATGATCCGTGTGAAAAAGCACGGGGCCGTAGAAATTCCAATCGGGAGGGCCGCCCACTGGTAAGGAATACCTTGGTATTCGAATCGGAGGTACTTCTGGAACTCGGAAGCTATTGGTACATGTAGATACGCGTCCTGAAGGTCTAACGAGACGAGGAAGTCGTTCGGTAATATCATCCGACGCAGAGAGCTGAGGGATATCAAGGTGAATGTGTCGGGTGGTTGGAGGTATGTTGCGTTGAACTTTTTGAGATTGAAAATAAGCCGCATCTTTGTGGAGTTTTTCTTGGGTACTAGAAAGATGGGCGAGTAATACCTCGGCGATGGTGCCGATGTCCCCAGGCGAAGTACGGCCGCCTTTTCCACCAACAAATCGATGGCCGCCGTCAGCCGATCCGTTGGTGGAATGTGGAATGTCGGGGATGACGTCAGTGGTGGCGTCGATCTCAGGCGTGGGGCGTAGCCTGTTGTCAAAATGTTCTGAACGTAAGGGTCGTTGAGGAAAACCCACTTGTGGGCATAGTGACGAAGTCGCCCCCCTACCGGTAGCTCGTCTAAAGGTAGTGTCACCGGGGGAGACTCCAACCACGGCGACGGCGGGGGAAGGGACCTCACTTCCTCCCCCGCTGGTACTGTCCCCCTCTGGGAAACTTGGAAAAGGAGACCTGGCGACCTTTCCTGTTGGAATCTCTCTTGCGGGACGGCTGTCGAGGCATGTCCCTACGGAAGGCCCGTTGCACATTCTCGTTTCGGTAACGTCGTCGTGGGGCGTTCGAAACCGGTGGCCGTCTGAACAGGTTGTGTGAAGCCGAAATGATGATGTCACGCTCGGCTTCCCTGGAGTACTTGTCCAGAACGTCGTTGGTACGACCGTCGAACAACTGTTGCGATGTCCACGGGGCCCGTAAGAGTGACCTGCCATGACGATCAGGTAGGTCAGTGCAGTCGATGTAACCATGGCAACGCGCCGTAGTAATCTGGCCCGATACATATCGGGACTGGGCGAGGACGTCCGAGATCCACAGTTGCATACAGGTGAGGACCGATGGCACCGTCCTGTCGTCCTCGTCCTGGGGTTCTTTCTCCTCAAAGTACACTGAGAGGGCCTTGATCGCTGTCGACAGCATAGCAAGCGTTTGCAGCTGGTGATGAACAGCAGTGTCCATGGATTCCAAATGTGGAGGGCGCTGGTCTCTTGAAGAGTAGCCCCCAGTCCAAATCCCTAGTCATGGGTGACGAAAACGGAATGCCATAGATCGGGTAACGAGATCGACCAGGCGGCTTGCAGAAGCTCTGCCCAGGCAGAGCAGAGCCAAAGTTCTGGTCCATGTCGTGAGCCATGGCTCTGAAGACATCGGGAGGAGAAAACTGAAGAGACTGCGGTGTATCTCCGACCTTAAAGCCCGCACGCGTCGGGTTGTGATCGTTCTTTGGGAGGCCTAGGAGGGCTGTCGTCACAATCCATCGTCGACGTCGAGTGTGGAGGCGTAGATGAAGGAGCTGCTGTACTAGTTGACGGGCCATGGACCCCCGACGTAGTCGTATCCTTCTTGGTCGACGCCGTCGAGGCGAGGACCGCCACCGTGATCTGGGCTATCAAAGGCGGGTCGATATGAAAGTGAGACGAGGTCGTCGTTCTGTCACTATCTTCACTACGACGCTGAACTCCCCGAAACTCCCTTCGAGAACGTCGCACGTCCCCGTGGGGACGAGGGCTACGATCTCTAACTGTAGAAGTACTACGATCCCCATCGTAGTTATCGTCCGAATCGTACATTCGACGACCACGATGACGATGAACGCCCTCGTGTCGTGTACTGTCTCTCGACGAGGCACTCGTCCTGTCGTCCCGACTTGAACGGGAACGACTTCTGTGTCCACTGTCGTCCCGCACGACGTCCCTATCGTCGTTGGTAGAACGAGATACGGACCGACTGGGGACCATAGTCCCCTCATGGTCCTCGTCACCACCCGGTCCTGTCGTAACGGGGGAGGCTGAGTGACGCTCTCGATCGAATGACGAAGACCAGTCGTGCGGGTAGTATCATCAGCAGGCGAACGGTCACGTGTCTTGTCGAAAACTGAAGTTGACTGAGGCGGGTCTTTATCAACTGATTTCTGAGGTGTGGTCGACTCGCCACCCCCAGGGCCTGATGGGGAGGGTGCAGAGTCCAAGGATCCAACCGATGACCTTCTCTGCTTGTAGCGCTGGTCAGCGGCCCGCTTCGCCAACGCACGAAGATACAAGTTAAAGTTTATTGAAGACAAGTTCTCACATTATTTACAACGTTTATTCCACGAACACGTTGAAAACCCGTCCTTAATGATGCAGGAAGGACAATACTTGTGAGGGTCTACTTTAGACAGTTTTCGTTGACACGAGGCACAAATACCCGACATATTGCCACGTGTAGAATCACTGTCAAACAGCGAAACACGCGTTGAACACAAACAATGGATTACCAAGGATTACATTCCAGGAGTCTACAGGTAAGACATATTATTACTTTATTAGAACAACTGTAGATAAGCGATAAGTACTAGTAGAATACAAACTAGCAGTCTACCGCGAAAGACTTTCTCGAGCGACCAGCGCAGAGGCGCGCTGAGAGATTTTGTGACATGTCATAGGGAGGTGCGTGCGCAACCGGACGGAAACAAGTTTAATGTTTACATTCCAGCTTCTGGCTTCCTCTTAAACGTGCGACTAGACGTGAGGGTATGAGAGATACCCATTTGTACGACTGAAAACAGACTAAAACAATATTTTATCTATATGTAGTTAAAAAAGTTCAATACTATTTATTATGATATTATGGGATAAATAAATCAAACCCATATCTTAGGAAACAATATTTTCTCGCCTTATTTCTTATATGGTGTAAGCATTTTAAGGTGCATAATTTAAAAAAAAAATGTCTGGTTTTTTTCCACTCCTTAAACTCAAATTGACTTTCCTCTTCAATTATCACCTTCATAAGTCTCTGGGGCACCACCCAGGCCCGCGATAGAAACTAGCAGTTTTAGTCCCTTAAAAATGGCAAATTTCGACTAGTCTTCATGATACCATAGGGAGGTCGGGTAGCCTAGAGGTTTAAGCATTCGCTCGTCACGCCGAAGACCCGGGTTCGATTCCCGACATGGGTACAATGTGTGAAGCCCATTTCCGGTTACCCCCGCCGTGATATTGCTGGAATATTGCTAAAAGCGGCATAAAACCATACTCACTCACTCACTCACTCATGATACCATAACTATTGGGCATTTTGGCAAGGACTAAAGGACTAGTGCAGTCTTTTCATACACATAGTGGGGTGGTCAGTCGGGTAGCCTAGTGGTTAAAGCATTCACTTGTCACGCCGAAGACCGAGTTCGATTCCCAACATGGGTACAATGTGTGAAGCCCATTTCTAGTGTCCCCCACAATGATATTGCTGGAATATTGCTAAAAGCGGCATAAAACCATACTCACTCACTCACTCACTCATACACATAGTGTACGGAAACATTGATGTCATACTGCCATAAACATTTCATGTACAAGCATCATACCGAAACTGATTTTTCCTCTATTGTTGAAAGAGAGAGTTCCCTGTGGACGCCTGGTTGCTGATACTTCCGTGATGTGGGAGGCTGGGAGGCCGCATCCCCCCGGGTACCCAGCACTTGGGGAGGGAAGAAGGGCGCGGTGGCATCATCAGATCCTGCAAGGAACGGAACGCATCAGAGAGAACACAGCAGGCAAGGGGTTAATCACCCAACATTGCATTTTAGATAAACACAGTAGATCAGCATTTCTTGATAAACACAGTAAACAAGCCTGCATTCTTGATGAACACAGTATACAAGGGGTTAGTCTGGAAACCCTGCATACAAGATGATCACAGTATACAAGGGGTTAATCTGGAAACCCTGCATACAAGATGATCACAGTATACAAGGGGTTAATCTGGAAACCCTGCATCCTACATGTACTCAGAAGACCAGGAGTTAATCTGGAACCCTGCATACAAGATGATCACAGTATACAAGGGGTTAATCTGGAAACCCTGCATCCTAGATGAACACAGTAGACAAGGGGTTAATCTGGAAACCCTGCATCCTAGATGTTCTCAGAAGACAAGGGGTTAATCTGGAACCCTGCATACAAGATGATCACAGTATACAAGGGGTTAATCTGGAAACCCTGCATTCTAGATGAACACAGTAGACCAGGGGTTAATCTTGAAACCCTGCATACAAGATGATCACAGTATACAAGGGGTTAATCTGGAACCCTGCATACAAGATGATCACAGTATACAAGGGGTTAATCTGGAAACCCTGCATTCTTGATGAACACAGGAGACCAGGGGTTAATCTTGAAACCCTGCATACAAGATGATCACAGTATACAAGGGGTTAATCTGGAAATCTGTAGCATGTGATTTTTTCTAAAGTTGGGACTAAAAATGGAAAGACTGAAAACTATTCATGTGCAGTTAAAATACCAAAACCCAAGGGTTTTTAAAATATTTTTCAACCCGTGAAGATCTCTGCTAGAACAGGTCTTCAGCAACCCATGCTTGCAAGAAGTGTCGACAATGCTTGTAGTAAGAGGCATCCAATAGGATCGGGTGGTCAGGTTGGGTGATTTGGTATATGCATATAATCATATCCCCATTGCATGGAAAGATGCTCATGATGTCAATCACTGGATTGGCTAGTCAGAGCTTCAGATAAGCAGTGTATTTGCGTACAATAAAAAAATTATTAAACACCCAATTACTTTCAATTAATTTGCGTACATGAATGCATGCATTAAATGAAAAACTCAAATGTATAAAAACATATAATGTTAATCTGTAAACCCTGCATTCTTGATGAACACAGCAGACCAGGGGTTAATCTGGAAACCCTACATTCTAGATGAACACAGCAGACCAGGGGTTAATCTGGAAACCCTGCATTCTAGATGAACACAGTAGACCAGGGGTTAATCTGTGAACCCTGTATTCTAGATGAACACAGTAGACGAGGGGTTAATCTGGAAACCCTGCATACAAGATGAACACAGTATACAAGGGGTTAATCTGTAAACCCTGCATTCTTGATGAACACAGTAGACCAGGGGTTAATCTGGAAACCCTGCATACAAGATGAACACAGTAGACAAGGGGTTAATCTGGAAATCTGTAGCATGTGATTTTTTCTAGCTGCCATGTGACACCCTTCACTCTTGTCTCTTCGCTTGCCTTCGCAAGACGTATATATCGACTGCTCTGCGTTCAAATCAGTGTACAGCAAACATGCTAAAAAAGCAGGTAAATTTCTGAAGCATGTTACCTGTGTGAGTGCTCTCCATAGTTGTGACGCTGTCGGCCAGTGACCCTGTGTCACTCTCCGTGTAATACAGGTCCCGACTACCAGCAGGTCTGAAACAAACACATACTACATGAGTTGGGTCTAAATGACAGAATGGCACGAACACTTTAATGTGGGACTCAAAACAGATAAATATTTGGTCCCAATTACCATGATCACAGCACTACCCATAAAAAACACAAGTTTCAACGGATACATATTGCAATATTTTGTATTAAGTAAAAAATAATAATAAGATTTGTAATTATTTGTATTGCTTTATTTAAAATCTACACATTCACAAATGAGGTATCCCTTCAAACTGATTAACAAAACAGAGGACATTTTTCTCTCATATTGTTATCTCCCCTGTATCCATGACAACACAATAGCGGCAACTGACCATGCTAAATAATATTTACTTGAGTATGTAGAAAATAGGAGCTGTATGCACAATCAAAGTCAATCACTGTCAACCACTTTAGCACCGATATATCGCAGTACATATCGAAATATAGATACTTGTACCACAATATACTGCAAAACATTTTTGTTTTTTTGCCAATACACAGCCCTAGCTGCCAGGTATTTTATACACTGTATCATACCATCTATCCTGCTAGTCTATCACAACTTGTATGATTTCAGCATGGTCAGTACTTTCCAAGATCAAACTCATTTTTTTTCTTCTCATATGGGAGCAGGGCTAGAAAAAAACACTTGTCCGCTTATATTGACAAGTCGCAGCATGGGCAGGGTGAGAAAGAGGTGAACAAACGCTCGGCCCACCGGGCGAGTAATGTTTCAAGCCTTGATCTGCACATTTATAATCATAACAATACAATCACAGGATGTCCCCCCTTCCCGACCGACCTGTGAGAGTATGGTTTTACACCGCTTTTGCAATATTCCCGCAATATCACGGCAGGGGACACCAGAAATGGGCTTCACACATTGTACTCATGAAGGGAATAGAACCCAGGTCTTTGGCGTGACGAGTGAACAGTTTAAACACTAAGCCACCCCACTGCCCCCCCACTGACCTATACGGCCGGAGCTTGTCCTTGCGTTGTCCACCACTGAGGTCCGAGTCCACTGGGGACGACACAGGGCTATCTCGCTGGACACTGGCGGGGATCTGACCGAACTCATCTCTGGGCCGAAACAGCCGATCAGCAGTCATATCCCTCTCAGACACATTTCTGTCAAACATCACAAACAGATTTCAAAGGCACAAAACAACTATTTGAAATTTTCAAAAAAATACCATCTACATAATACTATGCATAAGAAAACTATTTGAGTTAAAAGTAATCTGGAAATGAGAAAAACCTTTTATTGGGATAATCTCAACCATGTCAACTGCATCAATAGCGACAAGCCTTAACAGTAGTAATAACACTTGGGTTTCACATGTTTGAAAGAGCTGATCATATTTGACAGGGGTGAGAATCTTCCGCAGATCCGTGAATTTCCACGGATCCGTGAATTTCCACGGATCCGTGAATTTCCACGAATTAATGTGACCACAAATTTGTTAAAATCTAATGGCCTCCCATAAACACCCCCATGCTCAATTGAAAAGTTTCAGCTGAAGAGGAAAATATCCACTCTCATCCCTGATTTGATTTTCTCGGCCCACCTTTCTATAGATGATGCAAGCCTCCTCTCTGTGAGTGAGTGGGAGGAGGTCGTATTGGAGGTCAGGTCGGGGCCGGATGGGAACTCCTCTGGTGACACACCTTCTGGTCTGCCCCTAAACATGGATAACAGATACCATATCATCCAAACATGAAAACATACACTTGACATTTCATTAAAATAATTCAATAAACTCTCAAAACAGTCAAATTCATTGTCAAAACAACTTTGTAATAACAAAAAATCCAAATGCAGTTACCATGGTTACCAATACATTTATGGCATGTTGGGCAACAGAACATACAGGAAGAAACGTGTCTACTCAATAATTTACAGTATTAGTTATGTGCAATGCTGTAGTCAATGCTGGTAGTTTTTAGCTCACATACAAGTGAGCTTATGCCGTCTTGATTGACATCAAACATGGCTTCCATGGCAGCTATATTGATAATGTCATTTTAGCCCACATACTCAGCCATCTTATCAAGGCTTATCTTACAGTGTATTGTGATAGTTTACCTTCAGCTTTACAGTTATGAATAATTGTGTAATCTTAAGAACATGGTGTGAGGATGTCTGTGTCTATTATTTCTTGCGCTTCTTCTTCCTTATCCTTGTATACTACTCAAAATAAGTTAAGGATCACCCGATTCTTTCATACTATCGTTACACATTGACCATAGTAATATGAAAGAATCGGGTAATCCCTAACTTCTTCTCAGTAGTATACAACAGGTCAGTTATCATTGTGACATGGGCCCGCCCTAGGAAACCTCTTGATGCCTGATAAGTACAGCATATGTTGAATATGATAACGATCTATCATTCAATATCAGTGTTTGAAATTTAGCATGAAAGTCATGGAGTCCTTGTCAAAGCTCAAATAAAAAGTTATAGATTTTGAGGGTCCCTAGATTCAAATACTATAGGAGCAAACCTCAAGGAACCAGGACCCCCTCAATTTCGAACCCTAAAAGGTATTAACATCCTGGTCCCTACAGAATTCTTATGACTATCCCATAATATCGATCCTTCCATGTATGAAACTATAGATATCATAATCTAACAATAAACTTTGGGTGATCCTAAGGACTTCAATCATGTCAATGTTTCATGACTGTGTCTTAAACAATAATACTTCTAAAAAAGTCAAGGATCACCTAATTCTTTCATTTTACTATGAAAGATTTGGCATGATAGATTAACTGTAAAATGAAAGAATCGGGTGATCCATAACATCTTTTAGAAGTATACAAGCTCTATCTGATTCAAGTCAAGTATGCGAAGGTATACATTATTGAAAAAGCACTAACTGGAGCAGGTGGAGTAACACATATTTAAGAGGTCTGTTATCATGGTGATATAGCCCTACCTAGGGAAACACCTTGATGCCTTATAAGTAATAACTGAAGCATGGAGTTAAAGAGAAGAGTTGAAGAACATACCTGCCCCCCGTGCTGTGCACTGACTCAGCAGACAAAGCTTGTCTTGTCTCAGTCCTGGAGTTGGACGAGGCTGAGTCTGCCGACTTGTCCTCCTTATCCTGACTGAACCCATACAGTGGGTAGCACTCAATCACTCGACGCAGCGGCGTTCTCAGCTCTATGCTGTGGTCAAACGTCTTATTGGACATTTCTTGCAGCTGATTGGACAGAAAACTCTTGGCATTGCTAAATGCTGAGAACGGATTGTTGATCTTTTTGGGAGTCGAAAATTCCGTAAAAGATGCATGGCCAAAGGTTCTGCTCCTATCAGGTGAGCTGAGACCCGACATTTCCAGCCTCTTCCTCACATCACTGTCGGTGAGGACTATGCTTCTGCTAGAGACATTGACAGATGTGTCTGTGAAGCTAGAATCAAGCGGAGGCCGATTTGCAAGTCTGGTCAGAAGCTCTTGTTCCTGGGTGTTGACTTGGTCAAGGATGCCATGTGCCTGTTTGTGGGGATCCTGGCCCTCCAGGATTTGGGACACCTGACCAGCCATGCCAGTCAAGTACTGGGCCTCTATGAGAGACCGCTGGGCACGGAAGGAGTTTAGTATGTTGTCAATGCTGCGATTGGTTGGGGTTCCCGTCTCACTGGTCTGTTCATCGTCTGTGCCTTGAGCTTGGACTGCCTCCTCAGCCTTTGTGTTGCTGCTGGCTGACGTATGAGTCTCCTCACCCTCAGAATTATAGCTCTGTCTCTTAGCAGCATTATGGGCAACCTGGTCTCGATCTACATACGACATTGGACGATCTTCAGAGTTGTCAGTTTCTGTGCCATCAGTCTCTCTTGATGTGAACCGACCACTTTGATTTCCCGCACAAGCAATATCTGCTCCATAATCCCAAAGCAGACGACGACTCTGCTCGGGGGTGGTTGTCGTGCTCGGAACAATCTCACTCCCAGTTTCCGATCCGACGGGTGTTCGAGCTTCCCTTGCCCTATCCACATCATTAGACTGAACAGACTCATTGCCAGAGTCAGCAAAGTCCAGATTGTTCTGCAAACTGTTCTGAATCTCCTGAAGGTCCTGATGCAACCTCCTGTAGTCCAGACTGGCAGACAGTTCCTCTTCTGTCGGGGGAGGAGGAGGAGGAGGGAGAGGCAGATCTGAGCTGACCAACTGTGGATCAACTGGTGGGGGTGGGGGGAGGGAATAATTGTCAGTTGATGTTGTCTGGATATTTTCTCTAGGGAGAGGCAAGGAATTAGCGTCATTATTAGAACTCCTGTTTTCATAAGCAGCAGAAGGGTAGGTACTAATATAAGCCGTTTCAGCCAAGACTTTGCTTACTCTAGATTCAATATTCTGATCCCCTTGAGAAGATTCCATGGATCGCCTCCCTTCATGAACCAGAAGACTCTTTGTTGACTCTGGACCGCCATCCTTTGCTTCTAGCTCGTCTCCTCTTGACATTGTTGTCTCAGCAGAGCTACCCCCTCTGGCCATCAGCCTGGCAACTTCATCACTGGTGGCCGAGTTGGAGCTCTCAGAGCTCAGAGACTTGATGGAGTGTGTGAGGTCATCACTCTGGTACGACTGTGTCGACCCAGACAAAGTCTTCACTAGCTCTTCCTGTCTTGAATGAGATCTGGGTGCACTCTCAAGCCGTCCCAGGGAATGTCGCTTGTAGTCATCCCCAGACCCACTTCTCGGACCAGACAGAGGGAATGAATGTCTTCCCTCTCCTGATCCAGCAAGATTCAGCTTGGATAGAGTCTTGTCTAATATTATCTCCGACTTCCTAGCTAGGTCTACAGTGCTTGGCAGATTATCCAGACTGTATCTAAGCCTATCCTTGGACAACCCCATCCTCTGTGCCTCAACCTGTGACAAGTCGTACCGTGACCTGCCACCATCCACAGATGACAACGTCTCTTCGGTTCTGGGTACTACATTCGAAGACACGAACTTGGACGAAACTGATGAGGAAGAAAGACTCTTATCACTAAAACTCGGTTCTCGGTCAGGGGACTTGGAAAGAAACTCAGCTGCATATCTGTCCCCAGCAGCATTCCCACTTCTAGGACCTCCATCTTTAAGGATTTCATTCTTACGGTCAGTCAGATCCTGTATGTACCTAACACTATCAAAAGATGGCGCCGATAAACTCTGCTTTGTGCTTATGGAGTCAAGATATTTGGTTTCATGATCCCTGCCTAAAAAACTACCTCTTGATGTCGACACAGATGACACATCTTTTTGCATTTCCTTAAAGCTTGCAGTGTTGTCAACAGAGGCTTCCTGGATGACAGACAGCCCATGATTCGGTCCAGCCGATGCTACACTCATGTTTGTTAAAACTGTGCTGGAGAGGGGAGGGGAGAACGAGGACATGGAGGTGAAGGTGCTCTCTGTTGTCTTGCTTTTCTCCATCCTCGGACTGACATTCGTGTCCGACTCCGTCACCCAGTCACTATCAGACATGCCCAGGGCAGTCTCGGGGTATTTCCCCTCCATAGATTTCTGGTGACCCTTCTGATCATCAGAGGATAAGTCACTATCTCCACAGTGGAGCGGGAAGGACGTGAGATTGCCTGTGATGAAGTTCTTGGACACTTCCGATATGGCCGTGTTGACCACCTCCTCACACCCACTGCTTTCCTCCGTGGCAGTTTGTCCCATGTCATCCAGACACAGCTTCAGGCTCTCCAGCGGGTACTCACTCAGGCTGGCACCTGACAACAACAAATAAGAAAATATATTACTAAATATAAAGTGTTTCTTCAAGGCTAAATACACTTCTGAAAAGAAGTTTAAAGACAACACGATTTTTTCTTATGGCTGTAGTTAATCTATCATGGGTGGTGGGTACTGCAACACACAGTCTTCCAATTGTGTTCTTTAACTACTTTTGGGAAGTATATATACCAAGGATATGGACTAACACAACACAAAAGTTACCAGACATGCTAAATTTTGTCGGTCAATTTCATGTCGACCTTTCACATCCTTGTCAAATACATGCATGTTGCTCTACACTGGAACCATGTTACACGTGGCCTAGTCATGTTGTGTCGCCATGTTGTGTCCATTGAGACATTCAGAGGTAACAAAGATCATAAATCTACGCCAGTGAAAGTAAACAACCAATGATGATACCTCATGATGACTATTCTTATGCTACCCGTGAAGATTCCGGGATAGACTTGGTCTTCAGCAACCCCTGCTCGTCGAAAGAGGTGACTAACGGGATTGGGTTGTCAGACTTAGTTGATGCATGTCATCGTATCCCAATTCCGTAGATCGATGCTCATGATGTCAATCACTGGATTGTCTGGTCCAGACTTGATCATGTTGATTATTTACAAACTGCTATCATATAGCAAGAATACTGTTGAGCGCTGCGGCAAACAAAAAACAAACAAACTATTCTCATCATGTCGCTGATGATCAACAACACTGATGTCTGCAGCATAAAACACCACACAAACAAACATGTTGCAAGCATTCCTAACACTAGTAACAGTCCATGACGCTGTACCTTCCGATGCCTCCGTTGTTGACTTCCAGGGATCATCCATGGAGGAACCCAGCTGCTGGTCGGAAGCAGATGACAGCTGAGTGGAATCTTCATCCTGACTGTCGTCGGCCAGCAGGGTCTGAAACTGAAAACACAACACCCATCAGCATCACCATGATCAACATATAACATGCCTAATGAACATCATCATGATCATAACTGTATTTTGTTATAGCATGTATATTATCAACACGAATATCACGAAAAGAAAATACTGCCAAAGTGCTGTAGCTCACCTGCTCATAAATTCATCATTCACAGCGAAAATGGCAACTTGATATTTTGATACAATCATCATCATATTCATTGTGAAATAGCCTGGCTAGGATCAACAACAGCAAATGAAACCATTGTAACCATTGTAACTCATGCAGGGATCTACCTGGTCTATTGTATTTCGAGTCCAGTGGACTCACAGTAACATATAAGGTTTGAACCATGTGAACAACATATGACAACTGTGGCAGGCTTCACTTGATTTCGAGGCATTCCACTGACCATGATGAAGTCACATTGCACATGCACAGCCTCTGAAGCCATAAGACATGGACTTCAATGTTTCACCATGGGTTCACACTTCTTTCCCTTATTTTACCAAGTACTTCAGCAGGTTCAGGGCTTTTCTACTGAGTACATGGGCCTGTCTATTTTTGAATCGGGGGGAGTTTCAGTAATAATACATTTTGAGGGTCCAAGTCGTGAACATGAGGTGGAGGGCAGGCTGGCAACATGAGTCAGGCTCTACTTGATTTCCAGGAATTGTACTGATGTCATATCACTGACATATCATCACACACGCACAGAAGTCTCAACATGCTTAGAATTCTCAAAATGCTCAAGGGAGCATCCATTTCATTTTGTATGGGGGCAGAATGTTTTTGAGAACAATCTATTTTTCCCCAAGCTATATCCAACAAACTATTTATTTACTGTTTGACTTGTGGCAGGCATTTTTATGATAAACTTATCCACGACTAACATAGCTTATTTACAAGAAATGTCAACTTTACTTCAAAACAAAATAAATGTCTGTTTACATGTTTAAAACCAGCTTTTGACTCACATGTTAACATTCTGCAGTGTATATGACAAATTCTGTGACCAATAAATGCAAAATTTTGCATGAATTTGGCACAAAATGTGATTTTCTGCAAGATATGTACATTTCTGCACCAAGTGGACATTTCTGCAAAATATTCCATGACTATGGAATCGCGGAATACAGTTGGGGCTGATTGGTTACCAAGAAAATATGTTACCTGCAAGTTCAAGCCTTCAATATCCACCTTTTTAGCATCTGTGATATCCATTTTGTCCTGATTTGATGAAGATATTGACAACTGACTCTTTCCTAAGCTATACTGACTAAGAGTTGGGTCCCAAACTTTTGAATGTTTGGACTTGTCACCAAAAGAGTCACACAGCTGACTTTGCTCCAGTGTGTGCTGGCTGAGTGTCGAATCAGTCATATGGAGATTTGTTGTTTGAGTACAGCCCCGATCAGCAGAACGATATGCATGATGTTTTGGTTGGTGGTCATCGTCCGAGTCTGAATCTTCTGTTAATTCAAACCACTTGCTTGTATCAACCTGAAAAAAATAATGTGCATCAATTATTGTCCATCAAAAGATTTCAGAAATCACTGTCATTTTTCGAAACTCCAATTTCAGTTGAACAGAGCGTTTGGGAATAATTTACCAAATGTATGTAACTGGTAAGGGGTCACCTCGTTCCCGTCTTATGCATTTTAGCAGTCCATGAGGTGAACGACTCATCAGGTTATCTCCTGTTAAAAAATAAACGTGCACTGATCTAGTTAATTTGGTACGTCAGTGCATCGTGGAGATGAAAACATCGATGTTTCCTCAAAAGGCATGCGCGTACATGCAGGCAAATGCTGCTTGCGGTCTTCCTGAAACACGTCTAAACTTGTGCAGTTCGAGTCGACTGACCGAACCTGGCTGCGGGTCCATTTAATCTGTTAGCCGTGTAGCAACCCATATACAAACCAGTTAGTCAAATGTTATCAGAAAATGATATCTCTTCAAACTGTCGATTTACCTGAGTGGCCATTGTGCCATGAAATAAATGCGTTGTTTACAGTGCAGCTGTCATTGTTGTATGTTAGACTTGCCGCGACTGCTTTCGAAATGATATCGGTTACTTCCGGTTATTTACAGGAAAGAAATATTATCAAAATCATATTGATAAATGTCGTTAGAAGAATAATGTTTTATTTTTTGTCAAAATTTTCTGCTTATTAGGTTCCACGCTAAAAAAATAAATTAAAACATTTACCCATAATTCAACAGTCAATATGTCAGCCTCCATGAGAAATAAATGACAGCATGACAAGAGTTGTCGGCGACGTCTGATAGATGTTTATGTAGTTTATTTGGGGATATTCACGAATGGAGTTGGCGTGACAACCACCAAAATGGCATTTACTACTCGTTGTAGTCCAAGATTATTTCTTAAATACCTGAAACATAAACATTTTTCGCTTATTTCGCCAAAGGTTTTGTCATCATCGCCATCAATTTTGGTATTTTGCAAAAGACACAGATCCAATGGCAAGCGTAAGGATCTCAGTTCACTCTTTCAACCAATTAAGTTAAATCCGTCAGACAGGAGTGATGACATAAATGTTGGTGCTGAACTTGCCGGGGTCTTGAAGAAAGGTTTGTTGTGGATAAATTAGGATTATTTCATTATGTTTTCATTTATGCTTACGTTCAGCAGCTGTTCATGATAAAAGGGTCACTATCACTAGTCCATGTCGTTTGAAATATAAAGATAACTGATTTTTGCATGTTAATGATGTTACACGCCCATCATTGCTCATTCTTCATGTTCATAGGCAATAAAAACAATTCATCTGGAGGTAAAGAATGGTTCAAAGTGGAGGAAAATGATACAGCTGTACTAGTGGATAATACCTAAGTATTAATGGCTTAAACTCAGAATGTCGGGGCCTGACAAACCAAGAGCCATAAAAAGGGTCAGAGGATCCTGGCACGCAAAGGGAAATAAATTATAATTGTTGTATGTGAGACAAATTGGCCTCCTGTGATCCCCCTACCATTGTCAATTAGCTTCCAGCACATGGTGAAAAAAAGAAAGAAATCAAGGGCCTACCTTTACATGCTTTAGAATACAGCACCACAAACTTTTCAAACACGTGACAATACCCTATGACGTAATTTGTAGTATTTTGTTGCAAGTCACACCAGCGAAACAATGCCCTGTGACGTCAGGGGTCATCGAGTGTGCATAAGCTCCTCTCAGTGATCTATCATCTCAACACACAATGTCTTTGAATACGCCCAGCGGTGTTAAGAGTTTTGAATATTTGTTCACTAAATATAGCTTAATAGCTTAATAGCAATAAATATAGGCGGCGTAATTTATAGCAATCGCTAGTTTATGAAAGCACTTTTATTTTTAATATATTTTTTGATTCGTTTCGTTTCATTAATTTTCATTAATATGCACAAGAATGCAGTTTATTAGGGATATTATATTGACGCTGAACACATCCAAATGTCGCCAGTGTTAGGGTAGTAAAAAGGATGAAATGGTTTTGTGTCGAATACTTTGGCTACTGGAAACTGTCCTGGAACATTCACACAAGCTACTTTCACCGGCTACATTTTTTCAGTACTGATCCAAAAGCGAACTCACCGTTGTGTTGTCACTAGCCATGCTCATGCCTCCCTCGTTCCTTACTATTATTCACATCATCCTTACAGTGTTCCCTACCACACTTTTCTGTCACAAAATCCACCCAACGAATTATTAAATACCATTTCATTCATGCGTACTCGCAAGTTCGACGTCTGACGCCTGAAGCCGTTTTCAGTTCGCGCCATATCAGATCATTCCTCGCCACTCGGTATCTTGTAGATTACGGAATGGGACGAGTGTGCCAAATGGCATAGGGATCATTCGTAAGTTTTCAGACTAAAGTCACGAGACACCATGCCTACCCGTAACCTTCGTAAGTGTCCGTCACCTATTTGACCCTTTTCGTTCAGTTCTGTAACGTCGTAGGCATGACTAGGTAAATTTGCACTTTGTTTCACAGTGTGGACGTAGCTCAGTCGGTTAGCTGTCGGGCTAACTATCCAAAGGTCGCGAGTTCGCGTCCGATGGATTCTCACAAAAACTGGTTGCTTGTCTTTGAGACATGACCTACGGCAGAGATCGTCCTCACAAGAAGTTGTGGTACTGTATTCTAAAGGTGCTCCAAATTAAGTAATACATGTATGTGTTTAGCTGATTTTGATCCAATGGATTTAAGATTGTTTGGAGGTAGAGGATTTATTTGGAGAAATTGATACCAAATGATTCTGTCTGTTATTTCTTGTTTTGGTAGTTTAATACTACAATCTGTCATTCAAAGTTATTTTCACCGCAAATGGATGAGGAAAAGCTGAATTATTGTGATGGCCTCAGTCTGCTACTTTAGCCTCTAGTCAGATGTCCAAGTCTAGTAAAATTGTGTTGGGTCTAGTTAGTTCAACGAGTAATAATCTAATAATAACATCAAAATCTAGAGAAAATTATGCTTATAGTCAAGTTCGGGCTTGTAGTTTCAAACCTTTTGGCACACTCTGTGGCCTGATGACTGCCCACTGTCACACACTCCTAACTGTTTATTGCTTGACATCACCAAATATGGCAGCCTATAAGAATTTGATAAAACAGAATTTGCATTGATGATCCGACAATGGAGTCTCTCAAGTTTCGTTTTGTTATTGTGATCTATTTTTTTGTCCACCATAGATGCTAAGGTTCACCCTAAGCTGTTTAGGAATTGTTGGTCATGGCGTCATGGGGTCAAATCCAAGATTCTCCCTGATTAAGATTAGTCCAAAATGTACTTCTTCAATCTGCTGAACGGGATTCTAAGAATGATTTTAGTGTCTTATGTTTGTAATTATTGAAATATTTGTTTTGTTTCAGAGGATATTCTGAAGGCATTAAGTGATTTTTACCGTCGGCAAGAAATCCGCAAACTTGCTCAAGAAAACGGGCTTGACAGTAAGGACCATTCTCCTAATAGATACAAACAGCATTCTTTTGTCACTAGTTTAGGGAAGAGTATTCAAGTTGACTCATGCTTGACCATATTCATCTGTAAATGATCAAACAACATACTGCCATTCTCCTGGCTACAAGGCACGATATGATTGTTTTTCTATTAATACTAATCCCTCCACTATCTACATATAACTTGGTCTATAAACTGATTCAGTGATTGACATTTTGCTTTCTTGTTTAAGAAATGTCCTTCTGTTTAACATTTACTGTTCTCCTTTTTCTGGTCATCTAGTTACAAATAAAAAAAAAGGTTCAAATGCATGAATGCACAATTGTTTTCCAATCCTGTGTTTCGCGAGCTCTGAAACCGCTGTCTGTTCTTTCTTGCAGACCGGTTGTTTCACACATCCTACGTCAGTTTCCGAAGCTTCTGTGTGGAGTCGGAGACACTGCCCGTCGATCTGCACATCGTCTTCAGTGATATTTCACAGGGTGCTGGTAGGATATAAATCACAAACACGTTCATTTCTCACAGTAGTGAGAGCACACTGTGTTTTTTACATAGACATATTTTCACCTAATCCTGACCCTATGGCTTTAGAGGGCAGAATAGATCTCATGTACCCCATGCTTGATGTAAGAGGCAACTAAAATTGGGATCGTGTGGTCACAATGGCTGCTCGTTATGAATGTGTGCTGAATGCATGGATTGACACTGCTACTTTATTATATGGTTACAGATTTTTCTGCAAACAAATGAGCTTGGGTATGAGGAAATAAATATGAATTTATGTAGCTCAATATATGTTTTATTTGGATTATGTAGTATACACTATGGTGCTTTGAAACGGCAGGATACATAAAATATTTCCACAACAATTTTATAGCGCATTTATTACTTTGCATTCAGAACTGCCCTTATTGTTCGTTTTCATGAAACAGAAATCAGATACACTTGTGTAAATGCTTCACAAATTTAGAAGGCTTGATACTGATTAGCTGTTTAGAAAGTTCATTCTCATTTATACAGTGTGTTATGTTCCCAATCGATTATGATAAATACTCATTGGGACCATTTCACCACCAAAGCTTCATTTCGGATTAGACTCCACAAAACTCCAACTATCTTATAACTGACTTTGTCACAGGATTTCTCTCAAACATGAACTTGAAATCAACAACCAATCACATTGACTCTTCTGAGAGTTTGGCATAGATCTAATTTTGACATGGCCGTTTGTTTCCATCATGACAGAACCGTGGTAATTTGATTGGCCATCTGATGTTAGCATCGTGATGAACCAGACTAATGAAGCTGTGGTGTTTATGAAAATGGAATGGAATACTATACACTGGATAAACGAGTTGGAAGAAATTTAGAGTAATGTTTTGTTCTCTTTGTACATGTTGTATGGTGTTTTCAATGTATATGATATATTATTTACAAGTTAACAGTGTTTGGAAAATCAAATAAACTAAAATTGTTTTTATTTTAGATATGATATTTTTATATGAGTATCATCTTTTTCTGATTTTGTCAAGATCTATACTTTGTGGGCAGACTTCTGACAGATCGGGTTTGTTTTCAGGCCATGTTGATGATTTATTTCCGTATTTCTTGGATCACGCGCGGATTGTCTTCCCCCACCTTGACTGCATGGAGGATCTGAAGAAAATCAGCGATCTGCGCCAACCGGCAAACTGGTGAGCTCATTGGTCAGGTCAGACGGAGGACCTGATGAGTTGTAGTGATGTAACGATACGGTCATACAGTATTTTATTGTGATATGTGGCCAACAATGCAATACATCAATTTGCAACTCCTGTAGAAACAGAAACTGTTCAACAGCCTGCTTATTGCATTTCCCGGCTGGCTATAAATAGCATAACATTTACAGTGCCCTCTAGCCTAGATGTTTCTGCCGTACAATATCCCATCTTAGATCTCTGAAATTTAAAAACAAATGATTCAGGGTTGTGATTCACCTTCGAAAGAAAGAATATGAGCTTAATAAATGAAAATACTGTCTCAGGATATGAATTGTATTGCACCCATCATATCGGGATATGAATCATGCCGCAACCCCATCGTATCATTACACCATTAGTGACTTGACATATATTCACTCGTCTCCAACCTTCACATTAAAGAGGTCACATGATAGTCTGTTGTTTGATCTCTAACTGCCAGGTACCCCGAAGCCCGGACAAAACAGCGTAAGATCATCTACCACGAGGGTCCCACCAACAGCGGGAAGACCTACCACGCCCTGCAGAGGTACCTGACGGCCAAGTCCGGCATTTACTGCGGACCTCTCAAACTGCTGGTGTCCGAGGTGTTCCACAAGAGCAGTGAAGCTGTGAGTCATAGTCATCATGTCTCGATGTTGTCTTGAAATAACATGAATAGAGTGAGTGAGTGAGTGAGTTGGGTTTAATGTTGCGATAAAAAAATTCAGTCCTGTCAAGGATTCAAAGTAGAGATAATTTATGGGTAACAACTTCGTTTTTAACTGTAAAGGTGACATTTCTGTATATATCCTTATACCGTTGTCAAGCAAGGCTGAATAATGAACATGGTACAGAATATATACAGCAGGTGGAGGATTAACAGTAGCTACAATTGCATACATGAGAGAGATTAACGTGAGTAGGTTATGAGATGACAACAGACCCCAAACCTGACATCGAACACCTCCACCAAGTCTTCACTCACCTCAACAATTATTCACCCAAACTCGTTGACAGTACAATATTAACTTACTTAAAACCTATGTTTAGTGTGACTCTACCGTGATGTACGTGTGATGCACGTGTGATGCACCTGTGTTACTGTGTGTTTCAGGGTACGCCGTGTGACATGGTGACGGGGGAGGAGAAGAGATACGCCATCAGCGAGGACACCCCTGCCAATCATGTGGCGTGCACCGTGGAGATGGCCTTTCTAGCCACACCCTGTATGTAGACCAGCTCTTGATGTCATGCAGGCATTCAGACAGAACCTACAGTACTTGTTAAAATAATCTGTCAATTAAATAATGGGAGCAGGGAAAATGAAATGGTGATTGGATGGTTACAATGGTGGCTGTGTATTAAACGTTGATGGGCGAAACATTACCATGGTAAGAGGAAAAACATTTTCATGTTTGGAAATGACTGGCTTGCTACACTTACGCTCTTGTGTTTGTGTTTGTTATTTTACACCGCAGTTGCCAATACTCCGAATACTATTCAGTGACTGAGTATGGTTTTACGCCGCTTTTAGCAATATTCCAGCAATATCACGGCGGGGGACACCAGAAATGGGCTTCACACATTGTACCCATGTCGGGAATCGAACCCGGGTCTTCGGCGTGACGAGCGAACGCTTTAACCACTAGGCTACCCAACCGCCCCCCGAATACTATTCATGGTCTGTAAGTAATCCGGACCAGACAAACCAATGGTTGATATTATGAGCCGCATCCCACACTGTCTGGGTTTGTTTGTTTGTTGTTTTGATGCTGCACTCAGCAATATTCCAGCTATACGATGGCAGCCTGTAAATAATCGAGTCTGGATCAGACGATCCAGTGATTGACATCATGAGCATCAAGCTCAAGTGTAACCTTTCTAGACGGTTTGAAGTCTTTTTGGAGTAAAAAGAAAATACTGACTTCAAGAGTGGGTGCCAATGGATGAGAGATGCTGTGCTTTGCATTGAATAAAAACAGAGTTTTATTTGCTGTTTAACTCCGCACTCAGCAATATATCAACTATAAGATGACAGTCTATAAATCCAGATGATCCAGTGATTGACATCATGAGCATCAAGCTACACAGATAGGATGGGATTAAATCCATCGACGAAGTCAGCGAGCCTGACCACCCGATCCCATTAGTCGCCTCTTACTACAAGCATGGGTTGCAGAAGACCTATTCCTACCTGGAATCTTCTCAAGACACCAGATATGATGACATACAAAGAACACAATCATTGACTCTGATCCTACTGTCTCTCTTCACTGTTTTCCCCCACACATTTAGACTGTTTGATTCATTCAGGGTCGCCTGCTCTACATGACATAGCCGACAGTAAGGACATATCTCCTTTAGGGTTATTCATTGGATATTTTAGTACTGATATATCGACTAAAACATGACACGATATATTGATTAATAATAAAATTAATTATTCTGTATGTGTATATAGGTAAAAACGGAGCGATATAGATCTGGAATTATAACACAGTGCTACATATGAGCAAGGCTGATCCTGTAAATGTTTAAAATTGAATTAGCGGGTTTTCATTGTCCATGTAAATCATTGTTATCTTATAAATATAAAAGGGGGCACGGGTGGCCCGGTCGTCTAAGGCGCCGCGATTCGCTGTGCAGAGTTGCGTCCCTTAGGCACGCCAGAAACCTATGATTGTGGGTTCGAATCCCGGTTCGCCCCGATTATGTTTCTAGGTTTGTCAGCACCATACCCGTGCTCGTGGGTTTCACCGAAGTGGTAAACGTCTTAGACCTGTATCACTTCGGGCTTTCCTCCCACATTAAGCTGACACGCCGTGATATAACTGGAATACTGTTAAAAGCGGCACTAAACCCATCTCACTATAAATATAAACATTTCTGTGGCATTGAATTATTAATTTAGTATTAATATTCTTAAATTTGTACTGATACAGAATCGATACTACAAATTTATCAATACATCGATATCGCTGTATACGATGACATCCCTAATCTCCTTACAGACGAAGTGGCAGTTATTGATGAGATACAGATGATGGGGGACCCTGTCCGAGGCTGGGCGTGGACGCGGGCGCTCCTGGGACTGAACGCAGACGAGATCCACCTGTGTGGGGAGGGGACGGCCATCGACCTGGTGAGGGAGATGACGTTAGCCACGGGAGACGAGATGGAGGTACGTGTAACCTATGGTGGACTGGCAACATTTAATATGTGCACTGACAGATTTACACCAAATTTCAAAGGTCATAATAGTTACTTTTTTTAAATGTTACTCGATATTTGGATACTTCTTTTGAAAAAGATCGCACTGGTGACACAAATTACACAATTTACTGTGCAGAGATGCGTCCTTTGGGAACGCTAGAAACCCATGGTCGTGGATTCAAATCCTGGTTCCTCCAGTGATGTTTCTAGGTTAGTCACCACGATGCCTGTACTCGTCGGTTTCACCAAAGTGGTAAACGTCTGAGACCTGCATCACTTAAAGGCTTTTCTCCCACATTAAGCTCACACACCGTGATATAACTGGAATGCTGTCAAGGCGGTGTTAAACCCAACTCACTCACACACTCTCCTGAAAAAAACAACAAATGAATCATTGCAAAATTTATTACCAAATGCGATGTTTTGTTTAAAAACAAAATATTTTTGTTTCTCACAAAGAGAAAAGGCACACTGCAAGAAAGGCAACTGTGTCTATCATCAACAATACATGTATTTGAATTTGACCAACATAATTTTACTCGGTTACACAAATATCACATGATAACTGATACTCGCTGAAACCTGTTATAATAATTTATATACAGCAAGACAAGTTGTCAGTCAAGTAGCGCTTTGATGACTTTTCTCTTTTCTCGGGGGACAATGTCACTGGGATCGCAGCCAGCAAAGTCTCTCTTGAGAACTCTGTATGTTGCCTGTCTACACGTATAAAGGGGTATTATTTTAGCATTGGTGTACAGCCAGTTTAATGAAACCGGCTCAATTATTGTTGGTGAACTGTTCTTCCTTTCCTTGGTGTACTTGATGTAGAAGGCGGTTTCATCGTCGCTGTCCTTGATGCTGTATGTGATGTCATACTTCTCCATTCTCTTTGGCTGGTAGTCGATGTTCCTCTCGATTTTGTCAAGAAAGTATTTCACTGTTTCTTTGTACCTTGCTGCCTTGTCTCGTTTTGAGTCCGACTTTTTAGAAACTTTATCTGAATCACTTGTATCTTTTACTACCCTTTTGGTCAAGTGGTCAGCGGGATTCATGGTCAGTTTGGCGAGGCATGTGGTCAAGTGGTCAGTGGACGAGGGTATCTGTTTGATCAGGGTCTCTTCTGTGGTCTTTGTAACACTTGGAATGGCTGATTCCACTTCTTTCTGACCATCCATGTCTTTGGGGATGTTGATTTGTGACTGTTTATAAGACGGCTTAGTAGACCCCTTGCTACTTACAGGATCTGTTTTATTTGTCTTGGCTTTCACCAGTGTGCATGCCGTGTTGGGCTTGAATTGGAAAGACACCTTTTCTCTTGGCCACTTTTCATTATTGTTTTCTTTATCAGAATCACAACAATCATCCTTCTGATCACGCGTCTGCTCCAGTGAAGGGGAAGGTTCAGTCGTGACACCGTCTAACATACAGTCCAATGATTTGGGGTCATATTCCTTCTTGATATGAATCTTGAGAGATGATGGCGATGCAGGCTCTTGCTTGAGAGTAATCTCTTCACTTGATGTTTCTTCAGTGCCTGGGGTTTGCTTTGTCATTGACTCTGATCCAGCATTAGGGTCAGTATCAGACGCTGGAGACTGACTGTCGGCCATCTTGTTTATCATATCTGCTTGAAGATGTGGGCCTTCCTTTTTCACTTCTTCATACATGGAATCTTTCTGCTTGCTTCTGTCCTTGACTTCCAATTGCACAACAGGGGACTTTAGAGGACTGTAAGGGTCAAATTGCAGCGGTGCCTCCTCCAATTTCTTCAAACAACTTGTTTCAGTTATTGAAGACTTGAAACTTTTATATCTACTCTTCAGTGTTTGAGAATATTTTGCATTTAGCACAGTTTTGTCAAAAGACATCAAGATGCTGGCCTCTTTGGCTCCCTCATTAATTTTCCAGGAAACCAGGTTAAACTTTGACAGTCTGGTGATATTCCACACAATGTCATCAGGCAGCACATTGTAGGACTTGTCAACAAGGATAGACATTGCTGTGGTGATGTCAAAACAAATCTGGCTGACTTGTCAAACTCAAGGCTTGGTGTTGGAAGTGAAGGTTTCTGATTGGCTGATATTTTTCACATAGCAAATGATTGGATAAAATTGCAGAGTTTTCATTGGCTAACATCTTTCATGTGTAAGTTGCATCTTATATCATGTTATATGACAAGAACTTTCTAACTGTTGAATTCTGTTTATATTTGATAAATAATTTGTAAAAAGGTGGCCTGTGAAATTATTTGTGTTATTATTGAATTTTGACACAGTATAGGATATCTTGACAGTAGCACTGACCGTCAGTCAGCTTGGAAGCTGGTCAAGTTTTGCCTTTGTTTGACTTATGCAAGGTCCAGGCTGTTGCCACAAAAAGTCTTGTCCAAGCTTGTCCCACAAGCTGATGTGATTGACAGATTGATTGACAGCTCTCTCTCTATTTGTGTGTATGTAGGCTTTGTTAAGGCTTTCTAGCTGCAAGAGCAGGTTGTAGTTTTTGCATGTTTTTTTTTCAACGTAGTTGGTTTAAACAGAATTGAATTTCATATGATACACGTAATGGAGACATAGCTATGATAACATTTACTGGCCATTTCTGTGTTGAAATTATAAAAATTCTGCAGTAAAATTACCAAAGTTCTACAGTAACATTGACAAAAGTTTGCTGAAAAAACATAACCATTTCCCCCTTAAAATTTAAAAACAAACTCATTTTTGTTTCTTTTATAAATTTTAATCTCTTGTATTGAGACATTTCAGGTTTCAGGGGCTAGACCTGGTCCAGGGTGGGGTGAGCCAGTACACCCATCGTCTATACTACTTATGATTGTAGATTCAAGTCCCAGATTATCTGACCTCACCCTGATGTTTCAAGGTTTTACAATGACAACCCATGCTTGTGGGTTTCACCAAAGCAGGGCTGGACCGCCTCTGTGGTCCAGTGGTAGAGCGTCCGCACAGATTACGGAAGGCCCAGGGTTCGATCCCTGATCCGTGTCATACCAAAGACGTTAATAGGTGGTATTTGTTGTAACCCTGTCTGGTGCTCGGCATTATGGGGCTAAAACAAGGACTTGTTGGCTCGGGGTCAGTATACTGTGTCTGAGTGGGGTATTCATGTTAACCTGCGGCATGGTATCTCAGTGGGCTAGCACTAAAAATCGGCATCACAAGCAGCCACACACACACGTGCATGAACGTCGCTATATTAGTGCAATAATCTTTGATGCGATCAACTTGTGTTAAACCGGGATGCCTTATAGCGATTCATGCCCCTCACATAGCCATTTTTGCGACTGGGTTACGTCTAAGCCCAAACAGGTATAGCTAAAGGAATTGTCATACCGTTGCTTAATTCACATGTATTTCCCCCATATATGGTATATATTCCAGATGCCATTGAAAACACATCGGGGCTTAGAATATCATACAGAATGATTGAACACATTAACATTTAACATATGTAAAAACAAAAAAAATTCCTGAGGGATTCTTTGTCCGAAGTACCGGAAGTCACACACACATTCTGATTGGTTTGTCGGAATTATGCACATAACATTCATCGAAAGGGGGACGAGTTTTCTTACAGGTTACGGAGGGGGGCGAGTGGTGACGAATGACTACATCAGTAATCACTGTGCTATGTGTACTTTATCATGCTTTCTTGGGCTTGACATCATCAATATGTGGGTACTTGTATCATGAAACAGTCATCACAGATCTGAGATTGTAGTTTATACATATATATTTCAACTTTAATAAGTTTATGGGACAAGGGTCATTTTTGACCAACTTGTGTTATTCCGGGACAAGCCGAATAGCGACTCGTGCCCCTCTCATGGCCATTTTTGTGACCGGGTTCCGTCTTAGCGCAAACGGGCATACCTAAAACAATTGTCAACTCGTTGCGTAATTGTTCACATATATTTCCCCATATATTATATATATTTCAGATGCAATTTAAAGCACATCAGGACTTGCGGGATTATACAGTATGATTGAACACATTTAACTGTGTCTTGGGTATATTTTAGAATGCAAGACACATGAGAAATCGAAAATTGTTTCTGGGGGATTCTTTGACTGAAGACTTTGAAATCATACGTGCATTCTGACTGGTTTGTCGTATTTTCACACATAACATTCATCGATAGTGGGGCTAGTCTTCTTGCAGGTTACGGAAAGGGGTGAGTGGTGATGAATGGGACCAGGGTGCAACCTGGTTTTGTCTGCTGCAACTAGGTTTAATGCACATGGGGCCAGTTGAAGTCAAGCACTTTAAATCGAGGCCTGCATCCCTTGCATGCTGTGATGCCATAAATACTAAACCCAATTCAGTCGTAATAAGAACAAAAGCAGACAATGCTGTAGTCATGTTTATTAGCACTACATTGGACTTAGTCATGGTACAATATGTATGGTGTTTTGTTTTGTGTATTGTTTAAAGACGCACTCAGCAATATTGTAGCAGTCTGTAAATAATCAGGTCTGGACCAGGCAATCTAGTGATTGATATCATGAGCATTGATCCAAGCTGTTGGGATCGATGACATGCATAAACTTTTGTATGTTAACATGATGATTAAAAAAAAGATGTGTTTGCACCCTGAACAAGCAATCCCAAAATTTAAAAAAAAATGTTTTCTCATAAAAAAAAAAAAATTCTTGGAAAAAATGCTTTTAATGTTTACCTTCATGTTAAATTTGCCCCTTGTTTTCATTTTGACCATGAAATTCTATAAAAAAATATTGAATAAAATGTTTCTAACAAAAAAGGTCTATTATTAATTGACAGTATGAACTTACATTAGAAAGTCTTATTACATCAGGCCACAATATTCTCAAGAGATCATGCAAGGAGTTCAGCAAGGATTCTTCCCATTTCTTCAGGAATTACCTCGTTCCTGTTGCAGCATGAAAATGTTCTCTTTATGAACCTGTATGTGACCTGTCGACATGTATAACGTGGCATGTAGGCAGCATTCCTCTGAAGCCAATCTAGATCAACAAGCTCTCCTAGTGTCTCTCTCACCCTTGCCACTCCTGGCCAGGAATATCTGATAGTGAAGAAGCTGGCATCATATTTGTCATCTTTGATACTATATGTGCAGTCATATTTAAGAATCCTCTTTGGTTCAGAGTCAATGTTCCAGTATGCCATGTCCAAATAGTATCCGACTGTTCCTGCGGAGGATGAATCTCTTCTGGTCCCCTTCATCCATCCATCTTTGGGGGATTTGGGCCTTTTCTGTTTTGGTTCACGTATGCTGGGATCAGATGTGGATGATTTGCCAGGCTGTCCATTGTGTTCATCAGCCTGCTTCTTTGGTTGTGTCTTGTCTCTTCTCTTTGATTTGCTGTTCTTTTTTTCATGTTGCTTCTGCAAACCCATTTTGTTGGCGTCTGCTCTCGACAGTTTGTCTTTTTGTGCTGTATTACATACAGTTTTCTTTGAACTGTTGACTTGAGTGGTCATTTTAGCTCTCTGACAATTTGGATCAACATTTTCTTTGTTGTCTTTGGAGTTATCTCCCATTTTGTTCTTGACCTCTTGCAACCTTTTACTCTTCTTTGAGACAGAGTCTGATGGATGAGAACTGTTTGATGGCACATTAGCTGATGTACAGCTTAGTGCTTTAGTTTCACAGGTTGAAGTGGAAACAGGTTCATTGATTTCAACTTTCAGAGGCCTTGGGGTGACAGGGTCATCCTTGATTATAATCACCTGTGACTGCTCCGACTTGGACTGGATTAGTTGTGGAGTAGGATCGGAGGTAGGCTTCTTTTCAGTCTGACCTTCATCCATATTTTCTTTCAGCGAAGATGTACATACTTTTCTACTTTCAACAGTCGTCACTCTGTCACTCACAGGCTTTCCTAGCTGGCCAGTTGGTTGATCCTTTATGTGCATGACCGTCAACCTCAGTGGTTTGCCAGGGCTGAGGTCCACTGCTGCTCTGTGTGTTTGAGGTGCATCCACATCTACAGGAGCTTCATGCCAGACACTGGTTGGAGTTGTACTGCTGGACAAGTCTTTGTTGAAAGTCAAGGAGATAGTTGCCTCTTGAGTGCCTTCCTCGATAGTCCAGGAGATCAGGTTGAAGTCGGACAGTCTGTTGATGTTTCTCACCACTTCAGCAGGGAACACACTTGAGGCACTGTCAGTTAAGATGGACATTGTTGTGAAGATGACTTTCCAACACTGACCTGTGTCAAATGTAACTCAGACTGGTGATAGATGAAGGCTCCTGATTGGTCAAGACTCAGCAATACTGACCGGAGTCAGATGTAAGACTCAGGCTGGTCAGAGATAAGACTTCTGATTGGTTGATATGTTTCAACAAAAACATATATAGATATATATATATCTTTGGTTTCAAGCAGAAATAATTCAAACCAATTACAAAGTTCTGTTGATAAAACTCAGATAATTTTGTTTTGGATCTTGTTTGCACAAAGCAGCTTTCTTTGCTTTTGCTAACTGCAGGAAAATCACTTTGATTTGGGACTGTAGAAGCAAGGCATGTGAGTGGTGAGTGCTAACATTGACTGTCTTTGTTTGCAGGACAGCTAAGGAGAAAATCACATTTGTCTCTTATCAGTAAGTTCTTGATCATCCACCCAAGCTGGCTTATCTGCTGTTTCTCCCCTGTCAAGGAGGTGCATTGAATAACACAATTAAGGGACTGGTAATAAAAAAACAAATTTCATGCCCCCTGCTTCCAAATACATGTAACATTGTTTTCATGACACACACACATACACACACACAAACACCCCCCTCCCCCTCACACACACCCCACTCCCACCACACACCCCATCCCCACCCACCCACCCCCCCCCACACACACACACACCCACACACACACCCCGCACCCCACACCCCCACCCCCTATAATAAATGACCAGCCCCAAAAAACATTCAAATTCATACACTTTTTATTTATAAAAAAATAGAACTGTCATTTTGTCCTTCCCCCTTCCCCCAAACCACGTCTCACTACCACCACCCACCCCCTTTAACCTCTAGAATAAGTGACCAGTCCTCAACACTCCCATAAACTGCGTATATTTTACCTGAAGTGTCTTTGTGTTTGCAGGTGAAGCAGTACAAAAGGTTGACCACCCTCACCTACACCAATAAACCCGTTGGTATGTTTACAATTTAGGCCGACTGTAGTTTATTTCTTGATTCTGAACTTTTTGTGCAAACTTTGTTACGTATCCTGAGAAAGAAATAGTTTATTGAATACCTATCAGACATCTCCTTCACCACGTGAGCAGCAGGAGCAGTGTTAGTTAAGCTTGGCTAGTCAGCCTTGTTTAACCTCTTGGATGCACAATTCTTTTTGTGGTATTTATTCAGCAAAATAAAACATTTTCAGGTTATATTTAAACCTAAGAATAGAATTTTGCCAATGCAGTCAAGTTAAGGCCAGACTCTATTTCTTGATTCTGGAATTTTATGTGCAAATATTACTCTGTACCAGGTGAACAAAATATGTTATTACAGATATTTCAGATTTTGTTATCTTTGCCATTTGTGCTGTGTTCGTTACGCTTGTCTTGTCAGCCCTGTTTAACCTCATGGATGCACAATTCTTATTGTGGGTTTTATTCAGCCAAATAAAACATTTAATACTAGTAGTGCTTTTCAGGTTATACTTATGAATTTTGTTCCACTTTTCGTTTTAAGATCAGCAGAATCTGTAAACTCGGCTAATGTTTTTTGTAAATGTGTGATATATTGATTTAGATTCAGGACTTAGTGATCATTCAAGTCTTTCAAAGGCGGGGGACGGGTGGCCCAGTCGTCTAAGGCGCCACAATTCGTTGTGCAGAGTTGCGTCCCTTGGGTGCACCAGAAACCTATGATTGTGGGTTCGAATCCTGGTTCGCCCCGATTATGTTTCTAGGTTTGTCACCACCATACCCCTGCTCGTGGGTTTCACCGAAGTGGTAAACGTCTGAGACCTGCATCACTTCGGGCTTTCCTCCCAAATAAAGCTGACATGCCGTGATAAAACTGGAATACTGTTAAAAGTGGCGTTAAACCCAACTCACTCACTCACTCACTCACTCACTCACTCACTTTGAAAGGCATTTTAGAGTGATGCACATAAGGAAGAAAGTTTATGGATGTCAACTTCTTTATGAGGAACACAACGTTTCAGTGTGTGCACTTACTCCTTCATCATTTGCTTACTGCTTCATCACCTGATGCCAGAATCCTGTGATTATAGGTTAGCAGCCCAGAGTGATTCGCTTCACTTCAGCTTTCCTCACTCACTCACTCACTCACTCACTCACTCACTCACTCACATGCTCACCCACTCACCACTCACTCACTCACTCACTCACTCACTCACTCACTCACTCACTCACTCACTCACTCACACGCTCACTCACTCACTCACTCACTCACTCACACGCTCACTCACTCACACACTCACTCACTCACTCACTCACTCACACGCTCACTCACTCACTCACTCACTCACACACTCACTCACTCACTCACTCACTCACTCACTCACTCACTGATGCACATTGTGCATCTTGTGGCCCTAATGTAGGCTCATATACATGGCTTGTAATATGATGTGTCATGCCGTTTATTCTTTGTTTCAGAATCTTTTGACAATGTCCTACCAGGAGATTGTATAGTGTGTTTCAAGAAGAACGACATCTATCACGTCAGTCGACAGCTGGAGATGCGAAATAAGGAATGTGCCGTGATCTATGGAGGACTTCCTCCAGGTGAGATAGTGCTAGTGGTCAGACCACTACTGTCAATGACTGGCTTGTCTCATCTTCTTGAGGCAAGGGAGTTAACTAACTATAAAAGTCCAGTTTCCACCCTTGCCAAACTAGGCTGGAATTATGGAGTTATATTTTGGCTGGACTAACAAGTCTACGCATGGTCCATGTCAAATCGCATAATGAAATCAACATCCGGTTCGTAAACTGTCGTGCAGATTTCAGATGATTACAGGATAAAACATGTGTACTGTCAACTTAGCGTCAACAGATATATTCAAACTTTTTTCATGTTCTTAATCAAGGTGCTCACATGATTATATGCACTTCGCGAAGTAAGACCCGTTTTATTACACTATAGATCTTGATTATAGATCAGATTGTCTTCACTGGGCGCCACCATTTTGTTTGAAGTAAATGCATTATCAGTAATAGCAAAAGGTGGCGCTATGATCAAACCCAGAAATTTCTGACTAGTTCGACAAGGGTGGAAACTTGATTTTTATTTGCCTTGTGAAGAATTTTATTGCTAACACATTCCTTGGACAACACTACCCCTGTAATTGTGAAACCAAATTGGCTATAAAAATATGGACAAGTCATTCTATTTTTGTCTTCTTTCCATTTTTTTTTGTTTAATTAGTTTTTGTTAACTTATGTGTAAAAAAATAAAACCCCAAGCTAACTCCCTGAACCGTTTTATACCATCAGGAACCAAGCTGGCGCAGTCCAAGAAGTTCAATGACCCTGATGACCCCTGTAACATAATGGTTGCCACCGATGCCATAGGGATGGGCCTCAATCTGTGAGTTGCATTCTGGGAATTTGGTAAAGGGACCATACTCTTGTCATCCAACAACACTCTTCAAACTGTTTCAGTTTGTAGACAGTAATAAGCAGTGTCTCAAGTGTAAAAAGTACTGCTAACAGCTTCAGTAGCAGAGATTAGTGATGTCATTTGATTGTGTTGTCATGGTAACCGATGCCATCACAGTGGTCTGCAAAGCATTGTGATACAATATCATTGAAGCGATATCTCCTAGGAAAGATCATTTGATCTCACACAGGCGATGCCTCCTGATGCCTCCGGAGACCAGTTTGGGATACTAAATGCATTTCTTGCACATATATTGTCCTGAATGCCAAACATAACTCTGGTGACTACACAATAGTAGTGGGTTGAAATTGAAAAACGTGACTGTTATTTGAAGTGCTACAGTGTTCTATCACAACAAAAGATTGCTTGGTGCTTGGTTAGTTCTGAGTGTAGGCTGGCATTAGAGAATATGTAAGACAAAAAACAAATCTGGCGTTTTATTCTCGTTGTTTTGTTTATAAAAGTTGCCGAGATAAGATGAAGTGTCAGTAATTTTGTATTTACGAGTATTGTTATCAATTTTTGTGATGAATATGTTTCCATATGGAAGTTGAAGGTTATGTTACTCTGTGTGGACCTCTGTGCTTGTCTAGGTACCAATGTATCTATCATCTGTGTGTCCGTGTTGTTTGTCTATGTACCAATGTATCTATCATCTGTGTGTCCGTGTTGTTTGTCTATGTACCAATGTATCTATCATCTGTGTGTCCGTGTTGTTTGTCTATGTACCAATGTATCTATCATCTGTGTGTCCGTGTTGTTTGTCTATGTACCAATGTATCTATCATCTGTGTGTCCGTGTTGTTTGTCTATGTACCAATGTATCTATCATCTGTGTGTCCGTGTTGTTTGTCTATGTACCAATGTATCTATCATCTGTGTGTCCGTGTTGTTTGTCTATGTACCAATGTATCTATCATCTGTGTGTCCGTGTTGTTTGTCTATGTACCAATGTATCTATCATCTGTGTGTCCGTGTTGTTTGTCTATGTACCAATGTATCTATCATCTGTGTGTCTGTGTTGTTTGTCTATGTACCAATGTATCTATCATCTGTGTGTCTGTGTTGTTTGTCTATGTACCAATGTATCTATCATCTGTGTGGACCTCTGTGTTTGTCTATGTACCAATGTATCTATCATCTGTGTGTCCGTGTTGTTTGTCTATGTACCAATGTATCTATCATCTGTGTGTCCGTGTTGTTTGTCTATGTACCAATGTATCTATCATCTGTGTGTCCGTGTTGTTTGTCTATGTACCAATGTATCTATCATCTGTGTGTCCGTGTTGTTTGTCTATGTACCAATGTATCTATCATCTGTGTGTCCGTGTTGTTTGTCTATGTACCAATGTATCTATCATCTGTGTGTCTGTGTTGTTTGTCTATGTACCAATGTATCTATCATCTGTGTGTCTGTGTTGTTTGTCTATGTACCAATGTATCTATCATCTGTGTGTCCGTGTTGTTTGTCTATGTACCAATGTATCTATCATCTGTGTGTCTGTGTTGTTTGTCTAGGTACCAATGTATCTATCATCTGTGTGTCTGTGTTGTTTGTCTATGTACCAATGTATCTATCATCTGTGTGTCCGTGTTGTTTGTCTATGTACCAATGTATCTATCATCTGTGTGTCCGTGTTGTTTGTCTATGTACCAATGTATCTATCATCTGTGTGTCTGTGTTGTTTGTCTAGGTACCAATGTATCTATCATCTGTGTGTCTGTGTTGTTTGTCTATGTACCAATGTATCTATCATCTGTGTGTCCGTGTTGTTTGTCTATGTACCAATGTATCTATCATCTGTGTGTCCGTGTTGTTTGTCTATGTACCAATGTATCTATCATCTGTGTGTCTGTGTTTGTCTATGTACCAATGTATCTATCATCTGTGTGTCTGTGTTGTTTGTCTAGGTACCAATGTATCTATCATCTGTGTGTCTGTGTTTGTCTAGGTACCAATGTATCTATCATCTGTGTGTCCGTGTTGTTTGTCTATGTACCAATGTATCTATCATCTGTGTGTCTGTGTTTGTCTATGTACCAATGTATCTATCATCTGTGTGTCTGTGTTGTTTGTCTAGGTACCAATGTATCTATCATCTGTGTGTCTGTGTTTGTCTAGGTACCAATGTATCTATCATCTGTGTGTCTGTGTTGTTTGTCTAGGTACCAATGTATCTATCATCTGTGTGTCTGTGTTGTTTGTCTAGGTACCAATGTATCTATCATCTGTGTGTCTGTGTTTGTCTAGGTACCAATGTATCTATCATCTGTGTGTCTGTGTTGTTTGTCTAGGTACCAATGTATCTATCATCTGTGTGTCTGTGTTGTTTGTCTAGGTACCAATGTATCTATCATCTGTGTGTCTGTGTTTGTCTAGGTACCAATGTATCTATCATCTGTGTGTCTGTGTTGTTTGTCTAGGTACCAATGTATCTATCATCTGTGTGTCTGTGTTGTTTGTCTATGTACCAATGTATCTATCATCTGTGTGTCTGTGTTGTTTGTCTAGGTACCAATGTATCTATCATCTGTGTGTCTGTGTTGTTTGTCTAGGTACCAATGTATCTATCATCTGTGTGTCTGTGTTTGTCTAGGTACCAATGTATCTATCATCTGTGTGTCTGTGTTGTTTGTCTAGGTACCAATGTATCTATCATCTGTGTGTCTGTGTTGTTTGTCTATGTACCAATGTATCTATCATCTGTGTGTCTGTGTTTGTCTATGTACCAATGTATCTATCATCTGTGTGTCTGTGTTGTTTGTCTATGTACCAATGTATCTATCATCTGTGTGTCTGTGTTTGTCTATGTACCAATGTATCTATCATCTGTGTGTCTGTGTTGTTTGTCTATGTACCAATGTATCTATCATCTGTGTGTCTGTGTTTGTCTATGTACCAATGTATCTATCATCTGTGTGTCTGTGTTGTTTGTCTATGTACCAATGTATCTATCATCTGTGTGTCTGTGTTTGTCTAGGTACCAATGTATCTATCATCTGTGTGTCTGTGTTGTTTGTCTATGTACCAATGTATCTATCATCTGTGTGTCTGTGTTTGTCTAGGTACCAATGTATCTATCATCTGTGTGTCCGTGTTGTTTGTCTAGGTACCAATGTATCTATCATCTGTGTGTCTGTGTTTGTCTAGGTATCAATGTATCTATCATCTGTGTGTCTGTGTTTGTCTAGGTACCAATGTATCTATCATCTGTGTGTCTGTGTTGTTTGTCTATGTACCAATGTATCTATCATCTGTGTGTCTGTGTTTGTCTAGGTACCAATGTATCTATCATCTGTGTGTCTGTGTTTGTCTAGGTACCAATGTATCTATCATCTGTGTGTCTGTGTTGTTTGTCTAGGTACCAATGTATCTATCATCTGTGTGTCTGTGTTGTTTGTCTAGGTACCAATGTATCTATCATCTGTGTGTCTGTGTTGTTTGTCTAGGTACCAATGTATCTATCATCTGTGTGTCTGTGTTTGTCTAGGTACCAATGTATCTATCATCTGTGTGTCTGTGTTGTTTGTCTAGGTACCAATGTATCTATCATCTGTGTGTCTGTGTTGTTTGTCTATGTACCAATGTATCTATCATCTGTGTGTCTGTGTTGTTTGTCTAGGTACCAATGTATCTATCATCTGTGTGTCTGTGTTGTTTGTCTAGGTACCAATGTATCTATCATCTGTGTGTCTGTGTTTGTCTAGGTACCAATGTATCTATCATCTGTGTGTCTGTGTTGTTTGTCTAGGTACCAATGTATCTATCATCTGTGTGTCTGTGTTGTTTGTCTATGTACCAATGTATCTATCATCTGTGTGTCTGTGTTTGTCTATGTACCAATGTATCTATCATCTGTGTGTCTGTGTTGTTTGTCTATGTACCAATGTATCTATCATCTGTGTGTCTGTGTTTGTCTATGTACCAATGTATCTATCATCTGTGTGTCTGTGTTGTTTGTCTATGTACCAATGTATCTATCATCTGTGTGTCTGTGTTTGTCTATGTACCAATGTATCTATCATCTGTGTGTCTGTGTTGTTTGTCTATGTACCAATGTATCTATCATCTGTGTGTCTGTGTTTGTCTATGTACCAATGTATCTATCATCTGTGTGTCTGTGTTGTTTGTCTATGTACCAATGTATCTATCATCTGTGTGTCTGTGTTTGTCTAGGTACCAATGTATCTATCATCTGTGTGTCCGTGTTGTTTGTCTAGGTACCAATGTATCTATCATCTGTGTGTCTGTGTTTGTCTAGGTATCAATGTATCTATCATCTGTGTGTCTGTGTTGTTTGTCTATGTACCAATGTATCTATCATCTGTGTGTCTGTGTTTGTCTAGGTACCAATGTATCTATCATCTGTGTGTCTGTGTTTGTCTAGGTACCAATGTATCTATCATCTGTGTGTCTGTGTTGTTTGTCTATGTACCAATGTATCTATCATCTGTGTGTCTGTGTTTGTCTAGGTACCAATGTATCTATCATCTGTGTGTCTGTGTTTGTCTAGGTACCAATGTATCTATCATCTGTGTGTCTGTGTTGTTTGTCTATGTACCAATGTATCTATCATCTGTGTGTCCGTGTTGTTTGTCTATGTACCAATGTATCTATCATCTGTGTGTCCGTGTTGTTTGTCTAGGTACCAATGTATCTATCATCTGTGTGTCCGTGTTGTTTGTCTATGTACCAATGTATCTATCATCTGTGTGTCTGTGTTTGTCTAGGTACCAATGTATCTATCATCTGTGTGTCTGTGTTGTTTGTCTATGTACCAATGTATCTATCATCTGTGTGTCTGTGTTTGTCTAGGTACCAATGTATCTATCATCTGTGTGTCTGTGTTTGTCTAGGTACCAATGTATCTATCATCTGTGTGTCTGTGTTTGTCTAGGTACCAATGTATCTATCATCTGTGTGTCTGTGTTGTTTGTCTAGGTACCAATGTATCTATCATCTGTGTGTCTGTGTTTGTCTAGGTACCAATGTATCTATCATCTGTGTGTCTGTGTTGTTTGTCTATGTACCAATGTATCTATCATCTGTGTGGACCTTTTTGTTTGTCTAGGTACCAATGTATCTATCATCTGTGTGTCCGTGTTGTTTGTCTAGGTACCAATGTATCTATCATCTGTGTGTCTGTGTTTGTCTAGGTACCAATGTATCTATCATCTGTGTGTCTGTGTTTGTCTAGGTACCAATGTATCTATCATCTGTGTGTCTGTGTTGTTTGTCTATGTACCAATGTATCTATCATCTGTGTGTCTGTGTTTGTCTAGGTACCAATGTATCTATCATCTGTGTGTCTGTGTTTGTCTAGGTACCAATGTATCTATCATCTGTGTGTCTGTGTTGTTTGTCTATGTACCAATGTATCTATCATCTGTGTGTCCGTGTTGTTTGTCTATGTACCAATGTATCTATCATCTGTGTGTCCGTGTTGTTTGTCTAGGTACCAATGTATCTATCATCTGTGTGTCCGTGTTGTTTGTCTATGTACCAATGTATCTATCATCTGTGTGTCTGTGTTTGTCTAGGTACCAATGTATCTATCATCTGTGTGTCTGTGTTGTTTGTCTATGTACCAATGTATCTATCATCTGTGTGTCTGTGTTTGTCTAGGTACCAATGTATCTATCATCTGTGTGTCTGTGTTTGTCTAGGTACCAATGTATCTATCATCTGTGTGTCTGTGTTGTTTGTCTAGGTACCAATGTATCTATCATCTGTGTGTCTGTGTTTGTCTAGGTACCAATGTATCTATCATCTGTGTGTCTGTGTTTGTCTAGGTACCAATGTATCTATCATCTGTGTGTCTGTGTTGTTTGTCTATGTACCAATGTATCTATCATCTGTGTGTCTGTGTTTGTCTATGTACCAATGTATCTATCATCTGTGTGTCTGTGTTTGTCTAGGTACCAATGTATCTATCATCTGTGTGTCTGTGTTGTTTGTCTATGTACCAATGTATCTATCATCTGTGTGTCTGTGTTGTTTGTCTATGTACCAATGTATCTATCATCTGTGTGTCTGTGTTGTTTGTCTATGTACCAATGTATCTATCATCTGTGTGTCTGTGTTTGTCTAGGTACCAATGTATCTATCATCTGTGTGTCCGTGTTGTTTGTCTATGTACCAATGTATCTATCATCTGTGTGTCTGTGTTTGTCTAGGTACCAATGTATCTATCATCTGTGTGTCTGTGTTGTTTGTCTATGTACCAATGTATCTATCATCTGTGTGTCTGTGTTTGTCTAGGTACCAATGTATCTATCATCTGTGTGTCCGTGTTGTTTGTCTATGTACCAATGTATCTATCATCTGTGTGTCCGTGTTGTTTGTCTATGTACCAATGTATCTATCATCTGTGTGTCTGTGTTTGTCTAGGTACCAATGTATCTATCATCTGTGTGTCCGTGTTGTTTGTCTATGTACCAATGTATCTATCATCTGTGTGTCTGTGTTGTTTGTCTATGTACCAATGTATCTATCATCTGTGTGTCTGTGTTTGTCTATGTACCAATGTATCTATCATCTGTGTGTCCGTGTTGTTTGTCTATGTACCAATGTATCTATCATCTGTGTGTCCGTGTTGTTTGTCTATGTACCAATGTATCTATCATCTGTGTGTCCGTGTTGTTTGTCTATGTACCAATGTATCTATCATCTGTGTGTCCGTGTTGTTTGTCTATGTACCAATGTATCTATCATCTGTGTGTCTGTGTTTGTCTATGTACCAATGTATCTATCATCTGTGTGTCTGTGTTGTTTGTCTAGGTACCAATGTATCTATCATCTGTGTGTCTGTGTTTGTCTATGTACCAATGTATCTATCATCTGTGTGTCTGTGTTGTTTGTCTAGGTACCAATGTATCTATCATCTGTGTGTCTGTGTTGTTTGTCTATGTACCAATGTATCTATCATCTGTGTGTCCGTGTTGTTTGTCTATGTACCAATGTATCTATCATCTGTGTGGACCTTTTTGTTTGTCTAGGTACCAATGTATCTATCATCTGTGTGTCCGTGTTGTTTGTCTATGTACCAATGTATCTATCATCTGTGTGTCCGTGTTGTTTGTCTATGTACCAATGTATCTATCATCTGTGTGTCCGTGTTGTTTGTCTATGTACCAATGTATCTATCATCTGTGTGTCCGTGTTGTTTGTCTATGTACCAATGTATCTATCATCTGTGTGTCCGTGTTGTTTGTCTATGTACCAATGTATCTATCATCTGTGTGTCCGTGTTGTTTGTCTATGTACCAATGTATCTATCATCTGTGTGTCCGTGTTGTTTGTCTATGTACCAATGTATCTATCATCTGTGTGTCCGTGTTGTTTGTCTATGTACCAATGTATCTATCATCTGTGTGTCTGTGTTGTTTGTCTAGGTACCAATGTATCTATCATCTGTGTGTCTGTGTTTGTCTATGTACCAATGTATCTATCATCTGTGTGTCTGTGTTTGTCTATGTACCAATGTATCTATCATCTGTGTGTCTGTGTTGTTTGTCTAGGTACCAATGTATCTATCATCTGTGTGTCTGTGTTTGTCTATGTACCAATGTATCTATCATCTGTGTGTCTGTGTTGTTTGTTTGTTGTTTAACACCGCACTCAGCAATATTCCAGCTATATGACAGCAGCCTCTAAAAAATCGACTCTACACAATCCAGTGATTGACATCATGAGTATCGATACATGCAATTTCGGATACGATGACATGCATCAATCAAGTCAGCGAGCCTGACCAGCCGATCCCGTTAGTCGCCTCTTACAACAAGCATAGTTGCCTGTTACGGAAAGCATGGGTTGCTGAAGACCTATTCTACCCCGGACCTTCGTGGGTTTTGTCTATGTACTATTGTATCCATCATCATCTGTTTTTCCTTCAGCGCCATCAAGCGCATCATCTTCTACACCATGATAAAGCCGCACATGAACGAGGAGGGCGAGATGGAGATGAAGGTGATAAGCACGTCCCAGACGCTGCAGATAGCGGGGCGCGCGGGCAGGTACAACACGGCGTATGAAGAAGGGGAGGTAACCACCTTCAAGAAAGGCGACCTGCAGCTCCTAGGTGATTCAGTCAGCAAGAATGTGGAGCCGTTACAAGTAGGTTGATTTGTTGTGTGGAGCCGTTACAAGTAGGTTGATTTGTTGTGTGGAGCCGTTACAAGTAGGTTGATTTGTTGTGTGGAGCCGTTACAAGTAGGTTGATTTGTTGTGTGGAGCCGTAACAAGTAGGTTGATTTGTTGTGTGGAGCCGTAACAAGTAGGTTGATTTGTTGTGTGGAGCCGTAACAAGTAGGTTGATTTGTTGTGTGAAGCCGTTACAGATAGGTTGATTTGTTGTGTGGAGCCGTAACAAGTAGGTTGATTTGTTGTGTGGAGCCGTAACAAGTAGGTTGATTTGTTGTGTGGAGCCGTTACAAGTAGGTTGATTTGTTGTGTGGAGCCGTAACAAGTAGGTTGATTTGTTGTGTGAAGCCGTAACAAGTAGGTTGATTTGTTGTGTGAAGCCGTTACAAGTAGGTTGATTTGTTGTGTGAAGCCGTTACAAGTAGGTTGATTTGTTGTGTGAAGCCGTTACAAGTAGGTTGATTTGTTGTGTGAAGCCGTTACAAGTAGGTTGATTTGTTGTGTGGAGCCGTTACAAGTAGGTTGATTTGTTGTGTGGAGCCGTAACAAGTAGGTTGATTTGTTGTGTGGAGCCGTTACAAGTAGGTTGATTTGTTGTGTGGAGCCGTAACAAGTAGGTTGATTTGTTGTGTGAAGCCGTTACAAGTAGGTTGATTTGTTGTGTGGAGCCGTAACAAGTAGGTTGATTTGTTGTGTGGAGCCGTAACAAGTAGGTTGATTTGTTGTGTGGAGCCGTAACAAGTAGGTTGATTTGTTGTGTGAAGCCGTAACAAGTAGGTTGATTTGTTGTGTGAAGCCGTTACAAGTAGGTTGATTTGTTGTGTGAAGCCGTTACAAGTAGGTTGATTTGTTGTGTGAAGCCGTTACAAGTAGGTTGATTTGTTGTGTGAAGCCGTTACAAGTAGGTTGATTTGTTGTGTGAAGCCGTTACAAGTAGGTTGATTTGTTGTGTGGAGCCGTTACAAGTAGGTTGATTTGTTGTGTGAAGCCGTAACAAGTAGGTTGATTTGTTGTGTGGAGCCGTTACAGATAGGTTGATTTGTTGTGTGAAGCCGTTACAGATAGGTTGATTTGTTGTGTGGTGTCTTTACCATGGTGCTAAGGTTTTGATTTTTTCTGTGTTGATTTCTTGTGCTGTTTTGTGTAGGTTAATTTGTTTTGTGGAGCCATTACTTGTAGGTTGATTTCTTTGTGTGGAGCTATTACGTTTAGGTTGATTTCTTTGTGTGGAGCTATTACGTTTAGGTTGATTTCTTTGTGTGGAGCTATTACGTTTAGGTTGATTTCTTTGTGTGGAGCTATTACGTTTAGGTTGATTTCTTTGTGTGGAGCCATTACGTTTAGGTTGATTTCTTTGTGTGGAGCCATTACGTTTAGGTTGATTTCTTTGTGTGGAGCCATTACGTTTAGGTTGATTTCTTTGTGTGGAGCTATTACGTTTAGGTTGATTTCTTTGTGTGGAGCTATTACGTTTAGGTTGATTTCTTTGTGTGGAGCTATTACGTTTAGGTTGATTTCTTTGTGTGGAGCCATTACGTTTAGGTTGATTTCTTTGTGTGGAGCCATTACGTTTAGGTTGATTTCTTTGTGTGGAGCTATTACGTTTAGGTTGATTTCTTTGTGTGGAGCCATTACGTTTAGGTTGATTTCTTTGTGTGGAGCCATTACGTTTAGGTTGATTTCTTTGTGTGGAGCCATTACGTTTAAGTTGATTTCTTTGTGTGGAGCCATTACGTTTAGGTTGATTTCTTTGTGTGGAGCCATTACGTTTAGGTTGATTTCTTTGTGTGGAGCCATTACGTTTAGGTTGATTTCTTTGTGTGGAGCCATTACGTTTAGGTTGATTTCTTTGTGTGGAGCTATTACGTTTAGGTTGATTTCTTTGTGTGGAGCTATTACGTTTAGGTTGATTTCTTTGTGTGGAGCTATTACGTTTAGGTTGATTTCTTTGTGTGGCGCCGTTACGTTTAGGTTGATTTCTTTGTGTGGAGCTATTCCGTTTAGGTTGATTTCTTTGTGTGGAGCTATTACGTTTAGGTTGATTTCTTTGTGTGGAGCTATTACGTTTAAGTTGTTCCTTTGTGTGGAGCCATTATGTTTAGGTTGATTTCTTTGTGTGGAGCCGTTACGTTTAGGTTGATTTCTTTGTGTGGAGCTATTACGTTTAGGTTGATTTCTTTGTGTGGAGCTATTACGTTTAGGTTGTTCCTTTGTGTGGAGCCATTAGGTTTAGGTTGATTTCTTTGTGTGGAGCCGTTACGTTTAGGTTGTTCCTTTGTGTGGAGCTATTACGTTTAGGTTGATTTCTTTGTGTGGAGCCGTTACGTTTAGGTTGTTCCTTTGTGTGGAGCCATTATGATTAGGTTGATTTCTTTGTGTGGAGCCGTTATGTTACGGTTGTTCCTTTGTGTGGAGCTATTACGTTTAGGTTGATTTCTTTGTGTGGAAGCGTTACGTTACGGTTGTTCCTTTGTGTGGAAGCATTATGTGTGTGTTAAGTTATGTGTGTAGTGAAGTGCGTTTGTGTTACGGATTGACTTTTCATTGGTGAACTGTTTGAGGGAGGTTGTGGACAAAGCAACATGATTGTGATGTGTCTGTTACAGCAAGCTGGTTTACACCCGACAGCAGAACAGATTGAATTGTTTGCCTACCACCTGCCTAAAGCCACACTCTCCAACCTGATTGTGAGTAGAGTCAATATGTATCCTTATCCCCGTGAAGAACCGGGGCAGAAAAGTCGACAGCAACCCATGCTTGTCGTAATAGGTGACTAACGGGACCGGGTGGTCAGGCTCGCTGACTTGGTTGATGCATGTCATCGTATCCCAATAGCATGGATTGATGCTCATGATGTCAATCACTGGATTGTCTGGTCCAGATTTGATTATTTACAGACTGTCATCATATTGCTGGAATATTGCTGCGTGTGGCGTTAAACAACAAAAAAGTGATTTTGTATACTTTGTAGAATTGGTCTTCAGCAACACATGCTTGTCCCCTGTGAAGATCAGGGTTACGATTGGTCTTCAGTAACCCATGCTTGTCATAAGTGACGACTAATGGGATCGGGTGGTCAGGCTTGGTTGATGCAGGGGCGGTCGGGAAGCCTAGTGGTTAAAGCGTTCACTCGTCACGCCCAAGACCCGGGTTCAAATCCCGACATGGGTACAATGTGTGAAGCCTATTTCTGGTGTCCCCCGCTGTGATATTGCTTGAATATTGCTAAAAGCGTCATAAAACCAAACTCACTCACTCACTCACTTGGTTGATGCATGTCATCATACCCCAATTGCGTGGATGGATGCTCATGATGTCAATCACTGGATTAATTGGCTCAGGCTCTATTATTAGACTGCCGTCATATAGTAGGAATATTGCTGAGTGCAGCATTAAACAAAGGAACAAAACATGTCCTTCTTCTCAACTAATATCTTAACATAAAGTATCAGTGGCCAGATTAGATGATGCTTCCACTAGGTAGTCACTAAGTGAGTACAATGCATAAAGTGATCACTGCATCTGTTGTACTTCCACATAGACTTAGGAAAGTGGACCGCCTCTGTGGTCTAGTGGTAGAGCGTCCGCCCCAAGAGTGGAATTTTCGTGGTTCGATCCCAGGTCGCGTCATACAAAAAAACCTGTTGGTACTTGTTGTTACCCTGTCTGGTGCTCAGCATTAAGGGGTTAAAACAAGGACTTGTCAGCTCGGAGTCAGGGTACTGTGTCTGAGTGGGGTATTTTATGTTAAACTGCAGCATGGTATCTCAGTGGGCTAGCACTATAAATCGGCATCAGTCCGGACTAGTACAAGCAGCCACTCACACGTCACTGTGTAAGTGCAATAATCTTGGAAGCAACGTTAAACCCCATTTCACCTCACCTTACCTCACCTCACCTCATCTCACCTCACTTAGGAAAGTCATAGAACTATCAAAGCTGTCATTACAAATATGGGATCACGCTGTAGTGACTCTTTCCTAAGTCATGCCATTGTGATGTTCATGATTCGTGTTTCAAAAGGAACAAAATACTGAATCATGATGGCGAATATGCGAGTGAAATATAACAGCCCTAGTAATTAGCGAGAGAATTTGGTGTAAAACTGTTTTAAACAGCATACCAAGTTGTATCACGAAATGTCAGATTAATGTGGGAGGAAAGCTCAAAGTGATGCATTGAAACCTACGAGCACGGGTATAGTGCTGACAAACCGAGAAACATAATCGGGGCAAACTGGAATTGGAAACCACATGAAAGGTTTCTGGCAAGCCCAAGGGACACAACTTTGCACAGTGAAAACAGCACTTTGGACGACTGGGCAGCCCATATGCCCTCTCATCAGTAATTAGACAATACAAGGAAGCAGTCATACTGTGTCAATAGTGATATAACAAGGGGACAACTTTATGTGTGTTCAGATTTCCATTCACCCATCAACCAGGTGGCATTGTGGCTCAGTTTACCACACTCACATCTGTGTTTCCATGGTTGCAGGACATCTTCGTCTCCCTGTCTGTGCTGGACAGGGACAAGTACTTCCTGTGTAATGTGAAGGACTTCAAGTTTCTGGCCGACCTGATCGAACATGTGCCCCTTCCACTCCGAGCCAAATATGTCTTCTGCTGTTCTCCCATTCCCACCAAACAACCATTTGTCTGTACCATGTTTCTCAAGGTAGGTGTGTCAGTTTGTCTGTACCATGTTTCTCAAGGTAGGTGAGCCAGTTTGCCTGTACCATGTTTCTCAAGGCAGGTGTGTCCATCTGTCTGTACCATGTTTCTCAAGGTAGGTGTGTACATGTGTCTGTACCATGTTTCTCAAGGCAGGTGTGTCCATCTGTCTGTACCATGTTTCTCAAGGTAGGTGTGTACATGTGTCTGGACCATGTTTCTCAAGGTAGGTGTGTCCATTTGTCTGGACCATGTTTCTCAAGCTAGGTGTGTCCATGTGTCTGTACCATGTTTCTCAAGGTAGGGTGTCCATTTGTCTGTACCATGTTTCTCAAGGTAGGTCTGTCCATGTGTCTGTACCATGTTTCTCAAGGTAGATGTGTCCATTTGTCTGTACCATGTTTCTCGAGGTAGGTGTGTCAGTTTGTACCATGTTTCTCAAGGTAGGTCTGTCCATGTGTCTGTACCATGTTTCTCAAGGTAGGTCTGTCCATGTGTCTGTACCATATTTCTCAAGGTAGGTCTGTCCATGTGTCTGTACCATGTTTCTCAAGGCAGGTGTGCCCATGTGTCTGTACCATGTTTCTCAGGGTAGGTAAGTCAGTTTGTCTGTACCATGTTTCTCAAGGCAGGTAAGCCAGTTTGTCTGTACCATGTTTCTCAAGCTAGGTGTGTCCATGTGTCTGCACCATGTTTCTCAGGGTAGGTAAGCCAGTTCGTCTGTACCATGTTTCTCAAGGCAGGTGTGTCCTCATGGGCATGATGGTGATTATGAGTTAGAATAGGGCCCCAGCAATCATACAAGGTGACTTACCCTATATGACCGTAGATATGGCTGTGGCCATAGCAGCAACCATGTTTTCGGAACACGGAAGTTGATTTGGTGAAGCATACTCTGATTGGACTATGGATATATGCGATAGTCCACTCATATTTCAGCACAGAAAGTAGGCATGAAATGTCAAAGGTGGGAATTAGACTTTAATATAGGCTAGTGGACACGCTTGCCTCGGAAGATGGTTGTAAGGTCACAATTACAACAGGTTTCAACATTGTGTTACAGTTTGCTCGTCAGTTCAGCCGGAGTGAGCCTCTCACGTTGTTAAAGCTGCGCACCCAGATCAACTGGCCTTTTGCCCAACCAGCCACCATCAATGACCTGATCCACCTGGAGGGGGTGTTCGATGTCCTTGACCTCTACTTGTGGCTCAGGTAACATGAATCTGTTGTGAGTGAGTACGGTCATACGCTGCTTATAGCAATATTCCAGCAATATCACAGCGGGGGACACCAGATACGGGCTTCACACATTGTACCCATGAGGAGAATCGAACCAGAGCCTTTGGCGTGAAAAGGGAAAGCTTTAATTTAAAACTCTGCATGATAATTGTAATGGTTTTGTCTCAAATCATTTGAAGACATGAGGATGTCATATCTGTTACCATCTGAAAAGACCACAATCACTAAGACAAGGTGTAGCCAGGTGGTTAACTGGAGCACTGTTGTCATGCCTGAAAGATAATCTCATTAAGAGTGAGTGAGTGAGTTGGGTTTTACGCCGCTTTTAACAGTACTCCAGTTATATCACGGCATGTGAGCTTAATGTCGGAGGAAAGCCCGAAGTGATACAGGTCTCAGACGTTTACCGCTTTGGTGAAACCCATGAGCACGGGTATGGTGCTGACAAACCTAGAAACATAATCGGGGCGAACCGGGATTCGAACCCACAATCATAGGTTTCTGGCGTGCCCAAGGGACGCAACTCTACACAGCGAATCGCGGCGCCTTAGACGACTGGGCCAACCGTGCCCCCAATTTCATTAAGACCACATCTTTCATGCAGCTGTTATGGTTTTTTTAGGGTCAGGGTCATGTCTTTGGGTGGTCTGGCTCCATTAGGTGAAGGTAAAATTTGTTCATGTTACAAACATGTATTGCTCTTCTTATTTCGCATTTTGGCCTTTGGAGTATATGGAGTCAAATACATAGAACTAAGGATGTAACCATGTAGATCTTTAGTGGGTTAAATTTAAACATGACTTAACTTGAAGCTCTACTCTCACATATTTTCTCCCTCCCAGCTACCGTTTCCCGGACATGTTCCCTGACACAGAGCCTGTGAGGGATATGCAGAAGGAACTGGACGTCCTCATCCACGAAGGCGTGGCCCACATCACCCAGCTTCTTAAAGTCAGCAAGAGCATGTCCACCGTCACGTCGGACTTCAAGGACGATTTTGAAATTGAAAGAAAGATCCAGACATCAGAGAGACGGGAAACCGATCCTGAGAGAAGTGACTTTGACATTAGTACGAAACTGTCCAGTGAGGACACGCACAAGTGGGACACACCCCTCAGTGGGGATCTCAAACGGATTATTAAATCCAAAGACACGAGTGTGGTCACGGAAGGAGATGCTGCAGTGTTGTACAACCTGGCAAAGCAGGGAGTGTTGACTCACAAGCTGGTCAAGGCATTTCAGGAAAATGTTAACGGCAATAAGAAATACCCAAAGAAAAGGAACTTTAGGAAGAAGAAAAAATGATTTCGGGGAAAAGAGGACAAAGTTGTTGGATTTTGTTTTTAACAATTATGTTCAAGTGTCTGATTGAATGGTGAGGTGTCTTTTGTGTTTGTTTGTTTATTAGCAATGCACTTAGTAATATTCCAGCTGGTGATCTGTAAATAATCAATTCTGGACCAGACAAGCCAGTGATTGATATTGTGAGCAATGATCCATGCCGTTGGAGTACAGTGACATGCATCAATGAAGTCACCAAGTCTGACCTCCCGATCCATTAATCAGCCTCTCACATCCAACATGTCTCTGTAACAAGAACAGAACGTCTTTCAAAGGATTCAATCAGATGGACGCCAGTGCTACTGGAACTATGGATGTGAATTGGGAAACGTTATGATACCCACTGGGAAATTTAGGCATCAAACAGAAGAAATATCACTCACTCACTCACTCACTCAATCACACTATGTGCCAAACTATTTTATGTTGCCAATGTTGATAGCATGAAAAAACAGCAAATACATACAACTGTTTTTGGTTAAACTATTGTAGATAAAACATGTTTTACGTTGTCAAATTTAATTATAGGCATTGACTGTGTATTTTTTTCGGTTCATTGAGGTATGAATCGAAAAACCGATGTGAAAGCGTTTGTAAGAATCAGCTACACGGATTCAGTTTGCACATCAGTTTTTCGATTCATACCTCAATGATCCGAAAAAAATAGTCAATCCTCAAAGAGTTCTTACTTCATTTGGGGGACAAAGTAATCAATGGTAGTATTTGAGATGGATTAACCAGTGATTAGAAGCAGCTGTTAACATGGTTAAGGCCAGTAAGAATTATTCATGTGATCATCAGTCTCACCTCATCGTGTTTGCGAGTTGGTTGTCAGGATTAATTTTATGTTAATGTCTGCCAGTGACCAGTTCTACTTGATCATCATGGTTTTCATACAAACATTTCCCTCTTGACCTTTCAAAAAAAAAAAGATGATAAAAGCCTAGTTTTGGGGTTGGGGTGTGTCGTTAACAGGTCCACAAGAATTCCAACAGAAAAAAATGAACTTTTCGTGGGATATACAGTTCAAGTAACATCTGTAGCGATCACAATTTTATGATTACACGTGTTTGAAAACATAGCATGAAAGTAGGGGTCTCTAATTTCGATCTCTGCAGCTATGCTTTTTGAAGGTGGGGATATGTCACAAAATTGAGGAATTAAGATTTGTAACCAACGTTGAACTTTTAAACTGCCTGTTCCCCATGCTGACATGGCATATGATAGTATGTATGTTACGTACAATGGGTGTACAGCCTGTGACTAAATCCACCAGTCCAAAGCCTGTGTCTAGTAAAATTATGTTTGGTCAAGTAAGGTCAGCTAATAATAGTCCATATTATAACACTAAAGTCTTCTGAAAAAGATGCTAAGAGCCAGGCTTGGACTAGTAGACTCAGGCTTTTGGCACAGACATGGTCAATTACATTTTAGGTGAATCTATCATTAAATGATAATGGTAAATATTGATTTAACAAAATTTGCATATTGTACAAACATTGATGTGTTTCTTCGTTTCCTGCCTGTATTGCGACCCCACAAGTGGTAAATGTCGACTCGGGTGGTCATGTTGGCTTTTCCCAACATAAGCTCAAATGCTGTGATTTGACTGTTGAAACACCAAAGATTTGCATGTTTTGTGGACATTTTCAACTTCTCCTTCAAAGAACTATTATCGTTGGTGCATCATTTTCAATCAATCTGTAAGAAAGTACATTTATGAATCTCACTGACAGTTAGATCATTTGTAGCAAACAACTGTTGCTTTTGACATGTTTAAACATGATTTTTAAGTATGAACATTTTTCAATGGATGACTCATAAAAAATGTCTCACTGTTATATATATATTCACTCTTGTCGTGTTTTATCGGGTTACATGTTATGGCTGAACTTTCTTACTGGGAATCGATGCTGGTCGTAAGAGGCGACCACATGGTTTGGTGACTTGGTTAATTGCGTGTCATTGTACCCCATGTTGTGGATCAATGCTCATAATATCAATCACTGGATTGTCTGATCCAGGCTTGTTTATTTACAGGCCGCCATCGTTTAGTTGGAAAATTGCTGACTGTGGCATTAAACAACAGCAACAACTCATATTAGGAAACAGGAAAATAGTAAAAGATCTGCTCATGACATTCTCAATTCCATATTCACGTGAACAATAGGGCTGCTTGTTACAGAACTGAATTAGGTTCAATATAAACAGGCACCTTCTTTGTTTCTTGAGGAATACCTATATATGGTTGAGTGGAATAAAGATGCAGATTGAGAATAGTAAAAACCACCAACTGTATAGTGGTTTGTTTTTGTTGTTTTGAGTGTATGGAGTAAGACAATGGGTGAGATGCATGTCTGTGACAGTTGAGAGTATTAATATGTGTGATAACATAGTGATTTAATAATAAACAAGATTATAGAATGATTACTCCTTGTTTGTTGTTCAAGTCCAGGTTAAATGAAATTGTCAAGCACTCATTTCATGCTATAATTAATTCCAACAAGAGGCTAAGGCAAAAAACAATTTAAGAATTGGTTCTTGGGCAATGGTTTTTGAAAATATAGTGCAGGCAAGCTGTGTTTTATTTTTTTATTTTTTTTATTTTATTTTTCCAAACAAACAGTTGTATAAAATCAACCCGGAAAGGGACTCCCTACATAAATATATTTCTTGATGAGTAAAATACTGGAATACAGTATTTGACTACCATTAGACTTTGAATTACCGTATTCAACGTCATAAGCGCCCCGCTCTAAAAGCGCCCATGGCGATATTTACAAATATATTGGCTAGTGAACAATCCCAATCAGCAACCCTTCCGATTGATCAATGTACACAAGACTTATTTATTCGTGTATAATACACACTCGTGTGTTATATCACCCTTAATTATGGGCAATTAAATTCTTGAAAAATATATGTCGTATGTAAACATTTCAGGCTGTTAGCATAAACCACAAAATTTACGATCTTTCAACTCAAAATAATATTATAATAAGTTTATAATTTTGAGAGCGCCCTGGGCGCTTATTACGTTGAATACGGTATTAATGATTTTTTGGTTTGTTTTTTAAAATGGAAATAAAAATGAAACGTGCAGCGAACTTTAAGATGATGCGGGCATTTTCTTTAACCTCACATACTGAAATGAAAACTATAAAGAAATAAGTAAAATCATCCAGCCCTTGTTACTTTGAATAAAGAATTCTTTTAACTGGCCTTTTTAATTCATTTTTCTACACCAAGCATGTAATGAAAAAGATGGCAATGACAGAAGACTTGTTTTTAGTTGACACTACCGTGAGAGTCACCTGATACATAACCATCATACCAGACCAACTTTCCTCCCAGATGTATTTGGAGTGAGTTGGGTTTAACACTGCTTTTAGTAGTATATCAGCAATTTCACAGCAGAAATTTATTTGGAAATTGTTATGTTTGTTAAACGTCGTGGTCAGCAATATTCCAGCTATATGATGGCGGTATGTAAATAAGTGAGTGATTGATATCATGAGCATCAATCCACGCAATTGGGACCGTTGACATGCATCAACCAAGTCAGTGAGCCTGACCACCAGATCCCGTTAGTTGCCTTTTACAACAAGCACAGAAGCCTTTATTGTCCCCCGCCGCGCGAAAGCGTGAAGGGGGGGATATAGTATTCACGACCATCCGTACGTCTGTACGTCCGTCCGTACGTCCCACCTGTTTGTTGCCACGATATCTCAAGAACTATTCACTGGATTGTCTTCATATTTGGAACTATGGTGTATATACAGACTCCGAAGACACCAGTCGGTTTTGGTGACCTTGACCCCATTTTCAAGGTCACAGCAGGCAAATCTGCTTTTGGAGTTGGAAAACGCTGTTGCCGCGATATCTCAAGAACTGATTGCGGGATTGTCTTCATATTTGGAACTATGGTGTATATACAGACACCGCAGAGACCAGTCAATTTTGGTGACCTTGACCCCATTTTCAAGGTCACAGCAGGCAAATCTGCTTTTGGAGTTGGAAAACGGTGTTGCCGCGATATCTCAAGAACTAATCGCTGGATTGTCCTTATATTTGGTACTATGGTGTATATACAGGCGGGGGACATTTCGTCACTTTGTGACAAATACTTGTTTGGAAATTGCAATGAAATGGTGTGTATCTCTATGGTGTACTGACAAAATTGACAAAATGTCCCAAGCCAACAAAAGAAAACATAACAAAATATTAACAGTATAATGTATTCAAAAATAAAACTACAGGCAAAGAAAAAAATAGATATTATATTCTACTAACAAAAAGTATGGGAACACCCAAGTCATTGAGCGAATAGGAGTACTAAGAACAATACATTTGGTATGATCACCTCATTGACAGTGACCGAAATCTTACTACAAATATTTTGAAGTGTCCTTGCACCGATCCAATAAACATGTGGAAGTGTTTCAAAGCCCCCAAACCACCACAATGTACACTGAAACCTGAACACAGAAGAGTGCCCAGCATGGATATTTTCCGAATTCAACTTACTACATGTTTGACATGTTTGTTTGTTTGTTGTTTTACGCCGCACTCAGCAATATTCCAGCTATGTGACGGCAGTCTGTAAATAATCGAGTCTGGACCAGACAATCCAGTGATTAATATCATGAGCCTCGATGACATGCATCAACCAAAACAGCGAGCCTGACCACCCAATCCCGTTAGTTGCCAGTTACGACAAGCATAGTCGCCTTTTACAGCAAGTATGGGTTGCTGAAGACCTATTCTACCACGGATCTTCACGGGTCTGTTTGACATGTAGTTTGTCCTCCCATGATGTAGCTATTGCTGCTGTGCCCAAATGTTACTGGTTCAGTGTGTGCATGATAGTTGGGAGCTTCAGGAACACTTCCCCACAATGCCATGACACTCATCCAAATATGCAGAAAAAAACTTCATACAATAATTGTATAGTTGCATCGTTTTATTTTTCTAATCCATCAAAAATATATTCACAAAACCTTATATTTCCTCTGATAGTGCCTTTTGTTTCCTGTTGGACGAACCCATATACAGAAACATTAAGGCATGTCGCAAGTTGTTTTTTCAGTGCTGTTGATGCCTTATCAGCAAACTTCAGGTTTTTAGGAACTGTATTCATGAACTATGCTTATCATCTAGATGGTAAGGTCCTGTCATATATTAGATAAAATCATGAAAACAAAACACAACAAAATACTGAAAAAACATAAACTATTTAACAACATAAAGAAAACAACATCCCAAAATGGAGGTAAAATAAGACATTTAAGTATTTCCTAAACATTGTGACAAGTGCCTCAAGAGTCCGAAAATGATTTATAAATGTTTTTGTGTAGACGCATAATTTCAGAGATCCTTCTTCTTTAACACACTCTTGACTCTTCTGAAGAAGTTGGCCACCCTGGATAGCAAGGCCTTCAGGATGGAGTGGGGTGGCTGGGCAGGTTCCTCATCAGCAAGATCTACTTCAACAAAGTCAATGTCGTCCACGGTGAACTGACCTGCGATGGTGAGGGACACAGAAGGGACAGTGCTGGGGCGAAGGGTCTGGGGGACGAGCAGGTCAGACAAGGGGGCAGGGATGGCCAGGGACTCTGAAGTGGGCTTCTACAGATAGGAGGAAGTTGAAAGATAAGAAAGTCAAGAAAGAATATGAAGTTGAAATCAGTTCATTATAATTGATATTCAATTGTATTGAAGCATAGAAAAGATTTTGGTAGTAGAGACAGAAGAGGAAGCTGGTATGATAATGAAGTGAAAGATCTTGGAGATTAAGATACAGAGCATAACGTGTTAGAAACTAGAGAAAATAGAACTGAAGACATTGAAGTATATACATGCATTAGAGGAAAGTAGACATAGATAATGTAAATAATATAATATGAAGATGACATAATGGATGTTCTTGGAAATACCAGTGAGACTACTTGATATCAAATCTAGCATGCTAGTCCCAATTGAAAGAATTATCCCTTGAACCAAAGTTATGTCTCAATATTCCAATTGGGACTGTATTAATTTAGTTTAATATACCTTGTGTTGGCTTACGGAAGGAAATACTACATGTATTGCAGCTAGGCTTTAGGTTGAGGGATTTTAAATCATCTTCCCAAGGCAAGGGCAGTAACTGACAATAAAAGTCTGTTGCAACTGGACCTTAATAGTCAGTTAATGGCCTTGCCTCAGGAAGATTATGTTAAATGGGAGACAGTACAAACTAAGAAGACATTGCTAAACATTAATGACTCCTGCTACACCTACAGGACTAGGGGCAGGAAAAGTCAGGGGGGACACAGGCAGGGGGAACCAGATCATCCGATCATCTGTGGGAGGGAATGAAAGGATAAAAAAATGGTTTGGACAAGACATTGCTGAATTCTAAATGTTCTAAAGATGATGATTACACTAAGCAATATTCCAGTTATAGGACGGCGGTCCGTAAATAATTGAGTCTGGACCAGACAATCCAGTGATTGATATCATGAGCATGGATCCACACAATTGGGATACCATGACAAGCATCAACCAAGTCAGAAAACCTGACCACCAAATCCTGTTAATCGCGTCTTACAACAAGTAGGGGTTGCTGAAGAGCTATTCTAACTCTGTTCTTCACAGGTGTGATTACATGTTGTAAGATCAGTGTGGCTCACTGAGTTGTCATTATGTAGACATATGTACCACGGCACTGTACATTACACAGTACAAATGTCTTCTTGCTGAAATACAAGTTGTGTGCCCGGTTCCATGAAGTGAAACTAAGTCCATGTTGAACTATAAGAGTTACAACTGTCGTAAGGTGTAGATTACTGGCCAGGCTAGTGATAGCAGATATAAGTAATGTTGCGTGGCACAGACAGATATAACTGCTGAAGAAGACTGGGATTTATGTTAGATATAGAATTTGGTGCTTCAAGAGGAGCCACAATAGAATATGTTTTCATTCCATGATCCCAGGGCTAAGCGATACTAAAGTATTTCCTTGAGATTTATCTAGCTTTTATCATACTATAGGGTGGCGAGAATAATACCGTAGATCTATATTCTCTGTATTCGCACCGTTTCTTTTGTGGGACCTGAGTCTGAGACATTTTATAAAGCATTTTCTGAACAAATTATTCTTTTCACAAAAACGTTCCAGCCTCCTCTAGAGTAAACTGATAAATGTGAAGTTACATGAACAAATTAGCACAATAAAGTCCCTGAGTGGTTTGGGATCAAATCAATAGTCATGATTATTCATATATCAGGATAGAATATCTACATCGCCAATACTGTTTAATATTCATAGCATCACACAGCAACGGAATAATTAAGGCGAATTTACCTCGAACGTAACTGCTCGCATTCATGTTGGCAGGTTCAAGAAATTAGGAAAAGATAGGTAACTATGGCTGTAAAGCTTTCAA